CCTATGAGGAAGAAACCTAAATACATCACTGAGCAAGGAGCCATGCAGGAGTTCCCAGTCCTCCAGACTTGCTTTGTTCCTTTTGAAGCTCAGGAACTGGTGCCAAAAATCAGGCTTAAACGCAAGGTGAGGAAAAATTGACCTCTGTTACAGTAAGAATGTCTACTGCATTAACAATGCCTAAATTATGAAATTAAATGTCATTTATTGGTTATACAGTAGTGAATGGACTTTGTTCCTTGTGAAGAAGCCAGGAAGGATGGTAAGAGAAGTGTGCTGAATTGGATGTCTTTAGGAATTAGATTTGCAGTTCTGTGACAGAGCTTACTCTTGTAAAATAGTAATCTAGGACTTCTCACAGAGTAGCAGAGATGATACATTAGCAATGCTGCTCTGAGAAGGGTCCCTTAAGTACTGGTTTTGCTGTTTCTGCTAGTGCAGCTCCTCCTAGTTTTGACAGGAAACATCAGTTCTGGAGGTTGAGAGGGAGCTCAGGGTGATAGCTTCTGAAATGATGGGCGCTATGGCAGTGCTGAGGCTCAGGATCCCGTTGGCACTGTCAAGGAGCAGAGTATGAGATGCTCCTCTCCCTAAAGAGACTTGGCAAGGTGTTGCAAAAGGATGAAATCTCCTACCCAAAGTGTGGAGAGCTGCACGGGCTGAGTCACAACTAGAATTTGTTTTCCAAGTCCCAGGTGAGTGTCCCAGCCACTGCACTCTGCTGCATCTCTGTTCAGATACAGAAAGGCTGGTTCTGGATGGTTAAATAATTAGTGCTGTTACAACTATAGTCCCCAGCGGACACCACTGTTGGAGCTGATTACCAAACCTTCATCAATGAAGTTGCTTTCCCTCCTTATACTCAGAATCCCCAGATACTTTGGACTACTACTTTAGAGGTTTAACTTTTGTTTAAAGGTGTTTTAAAAAAGCATGTTAAACTTTTCTTGTATTAAAATGGGCAGGAGCAGCTAATACACTCTCTTGCGATAAATAGCTATAAAAACATCAAAGGTTTGGATAACTGTTAGCTGTATATTTTGTAATGCCTATTGTATTTCCATTTTGTTAGTTCTATTTAAAGAGTGGTATTATCATGCCCCATTTCCTGTTAGATAGTTCTATTTGTCTGCACTACAGGAGGCAGGAGATTTTAGGTCCAAAAGAAATTATCTCTCAGTAAATTACTCCTAACTCCATTACTGAATACTAAGCACTCTCCCCTTGCTGTGTGAGCAGCTTGAAGAGATAACGTTGCAATTTATTTATTTGTTTTGTCCCTCATATATAGGTGACACACAGACTCATCTGAGCAGAGACAGCGATAACTGACAGGTACATTAGATCAGCCACATATAGCAAAGTTTACTTTGATTATGTAGTAAGTGTCAAGATGTACAGTAGCTGATGTCAGTTTGATCCCTCTTATAGTATATAATGGCTCATCCTCTTCATGGTTGAATGGACACTAATTTTTGTCTAATAAGTAAGCTATCAGTTGAGTGTTTTAGAGAGTAGCCAGAGTTTTTTATTCTACTGAAAGGGAAACCATTCGTGAAATTATTTTAAAATTTGTTTGGATTGCTTGTTGTATTCATTTTTCTCCTTCTCCAAGTCCCCGTTTACTCAAAGGTACTAAAGGTACAATATTTTCTAAGGACCCGCTGTGAATCTATTGCAATGTGTATCAGACCTTTCCATATTAAAATAGTTGCAGAGAACAGAATATTTTGTCTGTCTTGATGTGTATTTGCCAAACTGCAAAGTCCATATGTACCACCTTTTAAACTTTAAAGAGAGGAAAAAACATGTTCTGTTGTTATGATCCCCTTTCTTCTTCCTTGTGTGGGTAAAGTAGGAAGGGTGTAAGGCTAATGTTTGTAGATGTTACGTTTTCTTATAGCTATGTGGTCATGATTTCAGTGAAATTGTATTTATGAAAATACCGTATTAAAATGCATTTTACAAGGCATAATATAGCTAATCAATAATAGATTTATGACCAAAAAAAAATATTGACGAGCTCTTAAAGTGAAGAGTAGTGTTTTAGGTTGTCTAGCATGGCTTAGCTTCCTGGCACAAGGACAGTTCCAGGGGAAACACATTTACAGTGAATAGTAATTTCTAAATTTTGGAGATCTCAATATAAGGAGAATAAACAAAAGAAAAAAAAAAAAAGACATTTCTGGTTACTACAAGTAATCTCTGAACCCTGTACTAGTTAAGTGTAAGTCACTGGCCTCACAAAGACTTAGTTAAGTATGGTTAGATCTTTTGTCACTGACAGATTGAGCTGTTTTAGCTCCAAATAAAGTGATTTGCAGCAAGGTGCTGAGGCTTCTGATGCCTGGCACTCATGGATCTAGGTGGTTTTCTTTCCTTGTTTTGTTTGTTTTCTGTGGTGTGTGTGTGTGCTTTTTTTCCCCACTCTGGTGTAGGCATTTCTTCCTTCTACCTAAATCATTACTGGTTTATAGGAATTTCTCATAAAAAGCATTGTCTTATCAAGGATACCCGGTGAATTTAAAAGTGTATGGACACTACCTAGTCAGAGGCAGGGTGTGAATGACTACTTGTGTTTCTGTTTGATCCAAGTGTTCTTCCATAAGCAAAACTAATGAACACTTCATTGTAGAGGCTCTGAATAACTTCATTAATATGCCTTTGCAATCCAGAAGTTCTGGTAACAGAAAGTGTCAGAAACCTTAATAATAGAAATGCTTAGTTTTAATCAACACAAAGCTCACTACAAGAAAAAGATAACTTGTTAAAAAGGAGAATGTTTTCAATACACCTGACAGTAAATATTGAAAACATCTCTTGATTTAGGAGATATTTGTGTCATTTCCTGAAGTATCACCCTGTTTTCTTTGCGTATCGCAGGGGCAAAGTATATCTTGATGTGAATTAAGTAAATTGTTGGACAAGTGTGTCCTACTTTCCTCTTGTCTAATGGAAGTATGTGGTCTGCCTGCTTTAGACAAGGATTCTGGGTCTCCAACCTTTTTCAGTTTACAAAGTGGAAGGTTTCAGAAGTAAAAGCTTCAGAAGTAGCTTATAAATTAACAGGAACTTGCAATCAGGGGCATACCAGTGAACCAGAGGATGTTTTTGAGTCCTGATTAATAGTGGTGTTCCCCCACTTCCACTGGGCTATGCCTGGTGCCTATAGGATGTGACTTATGTTTCTTGGTACGTTGGGTACCACTGGCAGGGTAGCTGCAGCATGCTGCAAATTTAATGCCTGGAGCTGCTGTTTTCATGTCCTTTGAGGCTGTGCCTTGGCTGTCCTTAGCAGTCCCCGTCCACTCTTTGCGGGAGGGTTACTTGTTTTGAGCCCAGAACTGGGCTCAGAGTAGTGCACTCCACAGAGTCCCAAAGCAGAAGCTCTGCTGTGCAGCTGGGAACTGAATGTCAATGTCTTCCATCTGTTCTTCTGTTCTCCACATGCAGCCCCTTGCTCCTTCATGTTCTCTTTGCTTAGCTCTGCACTAAGAAGGTGAAAGCTTACCGTGCCAGTGTTACATCAGATGAAAGCTTTATTGCTGCAGTCAGCAACTTCTTCACTTGTTCAGTTTGAGAGAGCGCTAACAGAGGTAAGACTTAGATGTTTCTGATAACTTACTGATGAGAAAGTGTCTCCAGGCTCTCCTCATACATTAACATTGCTGCCTGCTTCACTTCTCTTCCTGTATTCTCTTTGGGATATATAGAAAATAAGGCTGTAATAATGCTGTCCTTTCTTGTCTTCTTTCACAAACATTAATCCCATGATTTTTTATCAGTATGAAATAACCCTAGAGATAGGGCAGTCTGTGGATCAGCTTGTATGAAACTAGAAAACTGAAATTATTTTGTTTAATTGTGTGTGAAAGTCAACTTTTGTCAAAATCTCTAGCTGTGACTGGGCACTTACAAAATGCAATGTATTCTTTTCTTTAGCAGATCACCTAAATACATTTTACTAGCAACCCTTCTGAACCAGATGAAACTGTAATTCAAGCTGTCTTGTCTGCTTCTGCTTTAGTTCACAATAATGTCACTATGCAGCTCACACCAAAGACTTAAGTTTTTATCTCTAACAGCTACATCAGATATTTTGTCCTGAGTTTTTCTGCAGGTCATTACTGGTAAGGTAGCTTTTCTAAAACAATAATAAAAAAAACACACCAACCAACCAACCAAAAAAAAAACAAACACTGTTCCATTCAGTGTGTGTATATATATAAGTATATATTAATGTAAAAGTTTTGCTACTCCATCAATGTGACTTTGCAAGTTTGTTCTAATCTTTCAGTGACCAGCAACAATAGTAGAGCAGTTCTTCTCCAGCTGGAATACAAGAAACATCGCTGCAGCCAACAAACTAAATTAATGTAGAATGTTATATTCCATCTAGGAATTGTGCTTTGGCATACTGCTTGACTGAACATCTTCAGTACTTGAAGGTTGACTTTGCATTTGTTAGTAAATCGGATATATTAGAGGTAAGGGTACAATATGGCCAGGTGATGAAGGGATTGAGCAAGGAGCTAAATGCGTGCTCCTTGTGGTTCTGTGCCCCTGCTAAGTAAAGCACTAAATGCGTTGTGCTGTGGCTCCTTCATCTGCAGAGGGGTTAGCCCTGCCCTCAGATCTCTGTGAAGCAGGGAGGATGTCTCTGGGGTGTCGTTCAGACCTGGAACAAGAGTACAGGCGGTGGAGGGACTGGGTTCCATGTAGGCAGAACGAACAGTCTAGCTAAGTTCAAGTATTTCTTAAGCCATGGGGAAGTTTCAGGAGTAAAAGGAGTTTGTGACACATCCCTTCAGAGGATTTGTCCCTGTGCTGGGTGCTGGTGCCCAGGCGGGGCAGCAGCCTGCAGGGCGCTGTGAGGAGAGGCCGCTTCCAGCAGCCCCACCACAGGGCAGGCCTGGGCCCAGCAGCTTAGGGGAAACGTGTCTCAAAAAGGGCAAAACTTTACCCAGCAGTGAGGGGGGAAAAAAGTGCAGGGAACGGCCCTGTGGCACCAGGGTTGGGGCAGGAGGCAGTGGGAGGTGCTGCAGGCCCGGGGCTCTCTGTGGCCTGTGGAGAAACCATGGTGGAGCCGGGGGATGTGCTCTGAAGGAACGACAGCCCATGGAGAGGAGCCCGCGCTTGAGCAGTCTGTGAGGAGCCAGCGTGGAGCAGGGCATGAGTGTGGAGGAAGGAGAAGTAAAGAGGAGCTGTTAGGCACTGACCATGGCCACCATACCTTTCCCCTGTGCCACATGGTGTGAAGGAGGAGGCAGAGGAGTTGGGAATGGAGCAAAGTTGATCCTGGGGTAAGGTTAGGTGGCAGGGGGAAATGTTGCTTTAATTTGTTTTGGTATCTTACTATCCAACTTTTTATTTTTGAATTGGCAATAAATTAAATGAACTTTCCCCGGGTCAAGTCAGTTTTGCTCGTGATGGTAACTGGTAAGTGATCTCCCTGTCATTATCTCAACCCACGGGGCTTTTCTATCCTATTTTCTCTCTTTTCCCTTGAGGTTGGGGGGGGGAAGAGAGAGAGAGAGACAGCAGCTGGGTGGGCGTCTGGCAGCTGGCCAAGGTCAACCCACCACAATCGCACAATTTCGTGCCATGTTTAAAAAGACTGTGTGCCTGGGCCTTTTACCAGCAGGATTTGCTTTGCGTGGTAGATCTGTTCAAGGAGACGCTGGTGTGTGAAAATGTAGTTGGTAGCCTTATTCGACCTTCAGGAGCAGCTCTGCAGCCCATGTTTACTTCAGTCTGCTGTACTCTGCTGTGTGTGTCTTAAAGTTTCCCCGCAGTAGCAGATTGCTTGGACACTTGCCCATCTCTTTGTTTTGGGAGAAATTTGCAGTGTGAGATGAGAAGCTCAGATCTGTCTGTCCTGCATGCTGACGATGGCTCGCGTATAACTTTGCTGCCGGGTTTTGTGTGTGTGTGGAGCAGCCAAGCTTAATTAAGGTCATTGGTGCATTTGTGTGAAGTGAGGTGCCATTGTGCCCTGATGGCCTGTGTGTTTGTGGGTGGCTCCACGTGGATCAGTACGGACTGTAACACAACCTGCTAGCTTCATTTCGTTGTAATCCTTACGTAGAGCTGCTTGGACGTAAGGTATACAGAAATGCCCTGTCCTTAACCGCATTTTATGCAATTTGGGTCGTTCTATAGCTCAAGTGTAGTATGAGTGGCATGTGTATCATCACATGCTTCCACTTCTTAGGTTTATTTTGTTCATACAGCTTCATGGGAAGCTGCAACTCAGAAATTTGATGGTAAGTATAATTGTGTTGCCAGAGATGCCCTATGCACAGTCTCTTTTTTTTTTTTTTAACCTTCTTTTTTTAAATTCTTTTGGCAGTTTAAGCTTTATCTAGTTGTGATCCATGGCATGTAACGACAGGGTTGTAAATGAACAAGTTGTTAAAAACCTCAAAAATAGAAAAAAAAAATCTGTCTTGGGGGAAAAAAGATATTTCAAGGTTGGGGATACTGTTTCCTTATCTTCTCTTTCCTTTAATTTCAGGCATCTCTTGCAGGATGAGCAAATTGACCAGAATTATTACCTGACCAGAGGAGAGAAGAGTTCTTAAAGACAGCCTGTAAGTAGAGAAATTCTTATTAACCTGGTTAAAGTCAGTAGATCTCCGTTTCCATGTGGCAGTGCATCCACGTTTATTGTTCAGACTAAGGAGAAAAGTAACATCCCACCCTATGGTTGGCAAATTTGCAGTGAGGACCCCATTGCATGCTAGTGGTTTACATCTCATATAACTTGAAATAAAGGAGTCACTCACACATTCATAATCAATACAATTACCACTACTTTACATGAATTAAGTAATTTGTATGGTATTACTGTTTGGGGCATTTGTATCCCTATTCAGAGCACTTCTGTATTTCAACCCCACTGATGGTAAAGGCAGGTGCATGCCAGTTACCCACAAAACGAGGGAAAGCTCTATGGGGAAACTCTTTTATGTCCATCTAGATTTGAATTTGTAGTCCCTTTCCAATTACTGTGCTAATTGTTTAAGAGATTGCTAGACTAAAAAAGTTTTTAATCACTAATCTGTTTTTGAAAGGAACTTATGGGCTCAAAACCTGAACTACATACTTCTTAAATTAATTTTCTTCATGAATACTTCTTTCTCAATACAGATTTGTGAGTCAGAACACCCTACTGTGCTTGTTTCTTTTGTCTTTTCTTCAAACACCTGGCCTATTATTCTCCTTTTTTTTCCCCCCAACAAAATTGCTCTTTCTTTGTAGGCAAGGTTCTGATGATATTATGCCACTGGAAATACGAAAATTTACCCGACGTCCTATGTTACCAGAACTGAACTTGGGGCAGACGACAAACTAAACAAACCTGTCAATTTAGCCAAATGTGAGTACTCCAATAGAAATATTTGCAAGCATTTCTTGAAGAGGTATCAATATTGTCCAAAATCTACAAGCAAAACACCTCAAAAAATTGTCACACAGAGGGTAATGTCAGGAGATTAATTCCACAACTGCGTTTTTCTCACAGTGGCCTAAAGCCTGCAGAAGGTGAAGCGGGGTGGTGGTGTGTTCAGATCTTGTGCTACTTTGAAAATTCTCCCCAAGATTTTTGCTTTCAGGGAAACCAGACAAACCCAATAAAACAAGCAGGGCTCCAGGCCTGCCTCAGTTGAAGCCTATGCCAAGAAACTGTGTTGATGTCACACAGAGAAGAATTAGGCTGCAACCCTGACAAAAAATCCTGCAGTCTTAATCCAGATCAGCGTAAGCTTTTCCTAAATTGCACTAAATTCTTTAGTCCTGTAAGGCAAAATAAAGTGTCTGGAAATAATTGCATGTTCAGTGTGAGAACTGTTTAAAACAAACACAAATCAAAAAGCTCTCTGACTGGTTTAGAATGTAGGATGCTGCTGCTGCATAGAAGAGCTAGGAAAAGAAATGTTCCTGCTTGGTTTATGTAAGTGTTGACCCATGTGTAGCTATGAAACCAGACTGAAGGTTTTTCAGTTAAATTCTTCCCAAAACTTCTTAACTGCCATTTTAATGCCATGTCCACAAAAACTTTTAATCTTCTTTATTTAAATTTAAAATAAAGTAACATTTCTAAACAGGTAAGCTTTCTTCCTTGGTGTGATATTTTGTTAAAGAATAGCAATAATTAACATGAAAGGCTTGCTGAGTTTTGGTTACAGGTGTGCTTTGATTTCTAAGCTGATTTCAAGTGTTGCACTGCATATTTATTTTCATAATATCATTAGCTCTCACAGCTGGCTTTTTAATTCACATGAAAGAACAGAAATTTCTTGGAAGCACTCATTAAAGCAGAAAAAGTGAAATCAAGTTTAAAAAAAAACAACACTTATCTGCATTTCAAACTAAAACTAGGTGGCACATCAGTGATCTGTGTTCCCTGCTTGCACCCACTGTGAGATACTAATGTCTGCAGGCACCATCTTCCACTCAAATGGCATAGGAATGGCAGCCTTTATTTAATCTGTATATATCAAATTAAACAGTGTACTTGCCATTGCAATTCTTTCACGTATCAAAAAGGACGCAGTGGCTCGAAGCCACAGAGCCATGGATAAATATGCACCAGAGTCCGTGACTTGGTGTGACAAATTCAGAAGTTAGGGTGGCAGAGGAGCAGTACCAAGCAGGTGCTTGGTTGTGGTTGCAGTAAGAGAGGAGGGTGTTACCAGAGAAAGGGTGCCTTCTTGTGAGGTGACTCTGGAAAGAGTAACACCAGATCAACCTGGGAAGTGGTTTAGGAACCAAACCTGGTATCCAAACCTCCACTTTTGAGGGGCCTGTGGCCTATGTAAAAGTGGCTGTATGGGCTGTGTAAAGGTAGCAGCTCCTAGATCTGGGTCTGGTACAAGCTATAATGCAAATAAGTGAAATTACTTGCCTCAACGTATTAATTGCTGTCCCTGAAATCATTCATGTCCATAGCTATTAGCAAAACTTTGACAGATAAAAGTTACCTCTGCATGTAATTGCTGAAATCAAGGGAATTTTAGCATGTGAATTCACTTTTTCTGGGTGAAATTTTGATGGCCCTGTAGTCAAAGTTTTTGGTGAGCGTAAGGACTTGCTATTTCATGCTATTTATTCAAACCAGCCTTCAGCAGTTATTTTTCATGTGCTGCTTCTAGTGAATTTGTCTAGGAATACAACTTGGCAGAAATAGGTTTCATTTTTATTGCAAAGTCCTCTTCTGAATGGCTCGTGGCAAATGCAAGACAGTTCCTGCTGCTTTTAATGAAACAGTGGCACAGTCTGCTTTCCTGCAGAACCTCCTCACCTTGCAAGAGTGACACTGATGGCAAGGAAAGATGCCACAGTCTACTCTGTGAATTGTGTACTAGCAGTTTTCAAACCATTAACCTACTTAAAAGGTTAATTTGGAACAAACCTAGTGCTTGAGTGGATACTGTGTTGTGCTGCCAGCTGGCACCCTGGGCTATGGGAGTGGACTGGGGAGTGAATAGCTGTTGTGGAAGAAAACACGCACAAACTTCTTGTGAGAGGTCCTGGTCACATTGCCTTCCACGTCTTTGGCTGCTTGACCCACACAGCAGGACTAGCCAGCGTACTTTGGGTACAGAGCTTGCTTTTCCTAACAGTAAACCACCACCTCCCACCTGTGGTAACAGTGAGATCTGTGAATCCAGAAATACTTCCAGTCTTGTGGTAGGTTACAGCCCAAGAGCAGTCAAAGCAATTAGTAGTTCAGAGGAAATGAAAAACAGATCTACCTGATGCAGCAAACTGTCTTTCTTAGTCACAAACCTGAATACAAGCTCAAATAAGTTTACGGAAGCAGTAGTTGGGTATCTGGAGCTCCGCACTCAAAACCCTAGCCTAGAAAACATCTTTGATAGTCTCAAGAGGAGTCCCAGAGTTGCTGTGAGAAGAAAGTTCTAAAATTTACAAAATCTTTTCTCTGAATGTAGTGCTTGTGAATGGTCTTTAGGAACCAGACAGCATCAATGGGCGAGTCCCATGTTGTTGCATCAACCCACAACAGAACTTGCTTGGAGTGTCACTACAGCCTTGGGGAAGGTAATCTGCAGGTGTCCTCAGCTGCTGGCCTTTCTGCTGTGACTACTAAGAAACAATGAGCACTTCTGTAGCTCTACCACATTTGTTTAATCAGTCCTCACAACAGCCCTGTGAGGTAGGCAAGTAAGCTGCAAAGTCTAGAGCTGGGATAGTTGTTCACAGTCTATTTGATGGATGGGGAAGTTCAGCAAAAACTTTGAAAAGATTTGTCCAAAGCCAGAAAAGGAGTTGATGATTTGGCTGAACAAGAGACTTCTGGTTAGCAGAACCTCTGCTTAGTCATTTCAACATCAGTCCAAGGAAGAATTTAACACATCACATTTAATTTTTGCTTAAATTCTCAATCTATTCAAGGCATGAAACATGGAAATATACAAGCGATCTGTTAACTTAGTGGTCTCATAATATGTGCCATTAGTCATGCTAAAAGTAGTCAGTAACCTCATATTTACAGCTATTAGCTACTTACTGATGTGTCTATGTGCACAGAGAACTACACACAATTTACTGCACATTAATAACCTATTGTCACAGGGTACAGTTTTCAAATACGAAGTGTATTTTTTAATTATTAAAACATTGCCACTCTGAACATAAACATTTCTTGATTGAAACAAGATTTACTTTATACAAACGTAGTTCTGAATCGAAAGCCTATACTGAAAATAGTCTAAGTCTCCTTCCTGCTAAGTCTGTCTAAAATGTGAGATTTCATTGGCATCTGTACTTCAACATGAAGCAGGTTTTCAAAGTTAAGAACATATCAGCGTACTGGTTCTTACTGTCTAAAGTACTGTATGTAAGAGTTCCTCCTGAGAAATGAGTTAAGAATTGCTTATGAGACTGAAGTTATTCCTACAAATTATTTCAAATGTGAACTAGCATCCAGTGACTTAAGGGATTTCGAAGCTTCAGTTTCATTGTAGCCTGAGTTATAAAGACGAGGGCAGTTCCTGCTTATTTCTGTAGTGTCAGAAATTCACTCTGTATAAAAATGATGACAAAAGTCAACTTGCTACAGGATTTCATGTTGTAATAAAGGAAAAATTTTAGCAGGGTTACCTCCTCTTAGTCCATTGCTGAAGTTGGATGAACTACAGCTGGATGTGTGTGTTTTCTCCTTTTTTTTTTCTTTAAATGTCTCTAACAGGCGCTACTTATTGGGGAAGGCATTCACTTTCCCCTCTGTGGCTGCAGTCTGTGGGAGAGCTTCTAACAAAGTTCTTTGTTAGTGTTTGTAAGACTGGAGATGAGGTTTAATTGAGGGATTTGTGCTGAATGTTCTTTCGCTTTGAGCCTTAGTGCTGCAATGCTCGACGTTTTCCTTTCAACCGCTGCTGGATCAGTGAAGGCAGTAAGAGCAGGGTCTGACGGGGGTCCAGGAGCTTTCATTAGTACTGAAGCTGTTGTCATGAGAGGATTTAAAGCATTGAGAAACCTGTATTTGAAAGAAGTCAATATTATCCAAACTAAGAATTGTTTTGGAGAACAAGTACTTTCTGAGTTGCACGGAATAAAAAAAAAAAAAAGAGTGGGAACTAACTTGCCAAAACTACCAGTTTCTTCCAACATTGTTTTGCAGGATGTATTTTTGCTTTATTTTGCAGTACAGTGTCTTACTCTTAAAGCAAACAAAAAAAACACTTAATTGAAATAAACTTGACAGCTGATCAGACTGCAGATACCTAAAACATCAACCACTCACTAAACTCCTAATCCTTTCTCAGCAAACCTTGGATGCTGGAGCTCAGCCTGTTCTGTGAAAACTATAAATCACCTCATAAAAAGATTAATTCATGTAGCTGTTTACGTAGCCAATTTGTTCAGACAAGTTGCTCCGTGAAAAGCAGCATTTGCCTGTGTGGCACACAGATCTGCCCCTTAACGCGAACTGATACAGGCTGTAACTTCAGCAAGAGGAGAACACTGCCTTTTACATTTCTGTAAGTATATAAACACATTTATACATGCTACACAGATGCTTTTTCATATCTTATGGGGTGCATTATGGAATCTTCTGATCTCCATAGAAAAAAATGACTAAAACCTTCTTTATTCTGCCAAATCTCCTAGAAGCCACATCTGTCTGCAGTCACATCGTTATTTATGCAAGATAAGGATGGAGCTGAAGCTACCTAGGTTACAGCACTCTATGTGAAGACCAGTATTCAGTGAGACCAAAATTTTGGTAAGTATGCACAACTGATATTCAAACAGCAATTACATAGGAAGCTTTCACTAGCATGACTTACAACTACATTTTGTTTTTTTGTTTTTTTTTTTTTTTTTTCCTAATCAAGTGATCCCACACAGGAACCAGCTCCATTTTAAGTATGGGAGCACATTTGTTAACATATGTGAATATCAAACTAATAAAAATGCAGTTTTTAACAGTTCTGAGATTTAGGGGAGAAAAAAAAGACCGTACCTTCCAAAATGTGGATTTAAAATAGGATTTCTGAAGAGAGAAGTCCAGGTAAGGCTGCTGAGGCCAAATGGCCCTAGGGTTGAAGGACTAAAGGCTGAAGAGATGGATGGCACAGCCAATGTTGAAAAAGGCATTGACCTCCACGTGTGATCTAGGATGGGGGAATGACTCAGTGGAACATCCAAAAATAGACCAAGTGGGTGCGTTAAGGAGATTCCTGGAACAGTCCCCAGAATTTCAGTTTTTTCACGTTTCCTCCACTTTGCCCTTCTGTTTTGGAACCAGACCTTCAATAAGAAATTATAAAGGCATTAGCTGAACTTACTCTGAAGTTTGTCTTACCAGCTACTCCTGCACGCAGTGATATGGATGGCAAAATATTTATTGTTAAACAAAAACTTCTTAACATTAAAGATACATACATAAATACTGTAATGAGTTTATTAACAAATAAATTGGTTATAAAAACTGAATTTTACTACTGTAACTCTGACTGTATAGTCCCATATGGTTTAAAGCCATTGTGACAAACTGATGACTTGAGAACTTATGATTAGTTATTAAAATTATTATTCTTCCTTTCACAAGCTATTTATTGAAAATTAAATTTCAACAAAGCCTTTCAAGAGGTAGCTATTTCTGTACAGATACCTTGGGAAGCACCTTAATCATGACTATTAGAGGAACTTGTCCAAATATGTGGCATGTGCTTCTTATCTTGATAGCTGGGCCATTCATTCTTACACATGAAATTTAAAAGTAAAATGAAAACCTTTTGTTACCTACCATGAATGCAAACAGCATATAGTGATATGACAGTGATTAACTGAATTGCAGTGGAAGTCAATACTAAACTAGAAAATCTAGTAAGTCTTATTAGAACAGCGTATCAAGCTGTTCCTAAAGGGGCTTTAGCTAGCACTGGTTTTGTGTAGTAAGCCGTTAGGTACATTGCCTGTTCAAGCCTGACTAGTCATTATTTTAGCCCATTAAACATCTTTTAAAGATTTTAGTCAATCCAATCTACAGATCAGAAAAACTGACTCTTCACACTGTCATTATTTAGCATTCACTGAGCTGAACCTTTCAGACCCAGGATGGTAGCAAAGAGTAGACTGAAGAGCATCAGCCTTAAAACAGCAGGGAGAGTATTTTTTGTACTTATTTTTTTTTTTAATAATCTTGTAAGTATATGCTGCTGAGGTTGTACATTCAAAATCCAACTGTACTCAGCTGCTCAGGTTTTTGAGTCCTCTCTGTAGTGGGGACCATTCAAGCTGGATTCTGAACTGGATGTGGACTTCGAAGAAAGGCATTAGCTGTGCTTAATGCCTAATAATCTCAGCAGTCTTGTGTTGCTTAGTGAGCTGTGTGCATGAGGGTTCTGTGTGTAATAATTAAATGCTTTGAAGAGGATTCAATATTTAGTAGAAAGTGGTAATACAAAGAACAAGAGTTCTTGGAAAGACACGTCTCAGTCCTGTACAGAACCATGACTTTCTGAAGTTTACTTATGATTTAGGATGAAGGCAGACTTTAAAGATGGAGGTTGTTTAACATACAGTGTAGTTAACTTCAGATCAAGAATCTGTCGATGTCACTAAACCAAAGAAAAATCATAAAATTAAGCTGCAAAAATGAAGTCTTAAAAAAAAAAAAGACAGCAGATGCTAAAAAAGTTATTCCTTTGGTATTAGTCTTTCTGAAATAGATTTTATAGCAGTAAGTGTTATGACAATCTTTGAATTTTGATGCAGAAGTTTTATGGATGTATGGCTTTTAATAGCTGCTTACTATATCTGCAATTATATTTCAGCCAAAATATTTTAACAGTTCTAAATTTCTATCATGTAATGTCTCAAAACTGGGTTTTGGGCGTTCCCACCTCCACTGCTCCTTTTAATATCAGACATGCCATCTAACTATTTGCAGTGACTAATTTACCTTCAGGTGCTAAACATTAAGTGTGTTTGGAAGGAAAGGTGTTAGTGTTTTCCATTCAAATAAATCAATTAAGAAAGGTAGTGAACGGTCTCACACTGCAGATATGCAAGTGAAAAACTTTCCTAAAAGGAAATAATATGCTGCAAATGTATTAATTTCCTTACTAAGTCTTAGTGTTCTTCAATCTGTTCTTCATCAAGAAGCCTAACATGAAGTGAGATGTGTACTTTTCTGCTTTTTCTGTCCTAAAGCAAATCCATTTGATCACTGGTACTTTGACTACAAAATAACTTCTTTTACTGTTACAGATTTTGGGTTTACAACTAAACTTATTTAAATCATCTCTCAGATTTTGTATTCTTCAAATGCGAAGAAGTATCACCACAGATATCTAATAATTACCTTTAGAAAAAAGCTGACTTTCAGTTTCTTACTGTTACAAACTCCTCAACTCAAGTGATAAAAGGGGCACAGGCATGCATCATACATGACAAACAGCTATCAAAATTTAATGTATTATAGTCATTATCATTCAGATTAGTCATCTTGAAGCTTCTATTAAGCATTTTTCCTTTGCTTTACTTGCCTTTACTCTGTTTTTGGATATATCTGAAGTGACAAACTAAACATAAGAGAAACTGCTATGCTAGTGTTAAGGTATTTATGGTATGAGTTTGATAGCAGTGACAAAATACTTTGGAAAAAGTGCGTTACTTAAGTCTGAATATTTGAGTTTTAATACTCATAGGAAGATGAGTTTTAAAGTAATGATTTTGAGTTGTACACTACATTATCCAGATAGTTTTTGTAATTACTACCTTATTACCTGACAAAAGGGTTTAAAAAAGAGAAGGTGAGCATGTAATATTTGATAGCTTTCTTGCTGTAATTTTCTTTGAAAAGATATTTAATTGATGCAATACCTAGCAATCATTAAAAAGACTTAGGGATGTGGCTAACAGTATCATGTTTCTGCTGTAGCTGAATACAGGATCGTAATTAGAAAACATGACAACGCAGATCAGCTTTAGTTGTAAGCTGATGTTTTAACACTGATCCAGTTTGCAGAACTACCATACCCAAATGATGGCTTGCTCTACACATTATGAAAACAAAATATCCCTTTAACTTGTTCTTTTTTCCTCCCATAGCAACAATGTGAATTATGAGCAGAATGGCAAGAAGAGATGTTAATGCTATCCAAGAGCTTCCTAACACAGGTTCAGATGAATTAAAATGTTTTGTGGACTTTCAGACTACCCCTTTCATGGTATGGAAGAATGGGAAGATTCTTGCTGCCATCTCTTCCCTTCCTTCCTACAAGCAAATAATGAGCAGCAGTGGTTGATGTCTTTTGAAGTGATGCTGAACTGTGACTATATCGATGGGTAATTTTTTTCCTTATTCGTTCACTTTCATGTAAGGCTCCAAAATGCACAAGTGAGGGACAACACAGTGGCTTGTATTTATTTCAGCTGGTTGATAGAGGGGGGTCGCTGCAGCAAAGGTCTCAAATTGAAAACAATGAGGTGAAGGAGTCTGATTGTATTTGGGAAGATCAATTAGTTTCCTGGAATTACACTTGAGTAAATTAAAGATACCACTTTTCATGCCAACTGGTTTATTCACATACTGTAGAGAGGCATGGAAGTCTTCTCACAGGACACCATACAGAGCGACTATGAGCATAAGTGTTTGAGGGATGCATTTGGACATTAAGGTAGCTTGTTATTTACAGCATATGTCCATCCATACACTACCTGTTCCTATGAATCCTTTCACCTCCAAGCTAAGAGGTTTCCCATCTACCACAGGACAAGAACACATACGCAAACAGAAGCGCTGCACACTGGAAGTTTGCCCCAAGTGAACTGTGCTGACTGGGTGCTTGTGCCCTGGAGACTTGTTAGGACCTGAATCTGACAAGGAATATGTAAGTGCAAGGAACAGCCTTTTGTTGTTCCTTCCATCCACTGAGGATGCATGAACTCTGAAATCTTGCTTGTTAATTCCTTTTTGACTACATCAAACCCACTTTTCCATGTCTTTTAGGTGAGTCACTATCAGATGAGTTCCTCTTTGCCATCTACTGTTGCACTATTCCTTCACTAGTCAAGTGGACTACAGAGTGAGCACCCTAGGAAGGGAATGCGACAGTAACAGGCAAGTTAACAGCTTTTCACCTGTATCCCTTCTATGCATAGGTGCTGTGTGTAGTTGCCAGATATTGGGGTATTTCAGTGAGTAGAAGTTTTAGTGATCGTCGGTGGTAGGGAGAGGGAGGAGCACGAAACTTCTTCCAAGCACACACAAGAAATATGAAAAACATCCAGCTATTCTCAGCAGAGTAATTGTGAAGTACTGTTAATACTTCTAAGAACCTTTCCTGAAGATGGTGCATGTTAAAAAAAAAATTACAGCCTTACAGGTGTTCGCTAGTGTGAATCTAGTGAATTAAGTTATGACAACAGATATAAGCAAGGCTCTGGCACCAACAGTAACGAAGCTATGCAGCAATAAGTAGGACTGTCACACGGAGCAGCTGCACCCAGCTCTCAGTTCTCCATGAATATGCACGTACCCAGGGCTGTGCTGGAAGAGTAGTTCAGTTGGTATCTGATAAACAGCACAAGCCAAATTTCATAGTTTTTTATTCTGAGCTTAAAAACAGTTTGGAAGTCTTCACACAGTGTGAAGCAACATTTTCAAAAACGAATAAAAAAAAAAGCCCAACGCAAAACCCAACACCAGAACACCTAGTTTTTGTACGGGAAGGGACTTCTAGCTTAGATGAGACAAATTCTGAGCTACTTTTTAGAAGGTATCAAGTGCTTAGAGTCAGGAAAAGCTACTTGGGGCATTTGTAGTTTAAGGAAAATGCACTCGATGAGAACGTGAGGCATGAACTCTACGCCTCAAGTTCTACGAGCGCTGCTGTTAGCACAGCTCACCCGGGCCATACAACTCCCCAGGACAGTGCCTTGCTGTCAGATTAATGTCAAACTAACCCCGTATTTCCTTTACCCACTCACTTCGCGCTGTGACTCGGAGCTCAGGCAGCGCAGCCGAGTGCTGCCAGCTCCTCGGGCTGCCCGCAGCTCCCTGGGGCTCTGCACGCCAGCCCCGCGCCCCGCAGCCCGGCACACGGTACCTGCTCCAGCCCGGCGGGGGGTGCTCCCTGGAGGCTCCGCCGGTCTCCCCGAGGCGGCCGGCCCGTGTCTCTCTCTCTCTGTCTCCATCCGTCCCTGAGGGGCCGAAGCGCTGCCCGCCCGCCCCCACCCGCCCCCCGGGCCGGCTCCCCGCCGCCGCCCGGCACTCACCCACCTGGACGCGGGCCTCGGTCAGCTCCAGGCGGCCGGCCAGCTCCTCCCTGCGGGGGGCAGCGCACCGTTAGCCGCCTTGCCCCGTGTGGCGCCCGGCCCCTCCGCCCTCCCGGCTCTTCCCCCCCCCCCGCTACCTGGTGAACACGTCGGGGTAGTGCGACTTGCGGAAGGCTCGCTCCAGCTCCTCCAGCTGGAAGGTGCTGAACGTGGTGCGGTACCGCCGCTGCTTTCTCCTCAGCGGAGCCGGCGCCTCGCCGCCCCCCCCCGCCGCCGCCGCCTCATGGCCGGGCGGGCGCCCCCCGCGCCCCGCCGCTGAGGGCTCCTCGGCGGGGCCGGGCCGCGGCGGCGCTGGCTCCGCTCGCTCCTCGCCTGAGGGGAGAGAAGCGGGCAGTTAGCCCAGAGCTCGGCCCCTCGCCTCGCCTCGCCCCGCCGCCCCTCACCGTGCCGCCGGCCCGCGCCGCCGTCGATGAAGCAGGAGGTGAGGAGGTGCAGCGCCGCCGGGGGGGCGCCCTGCATGGCGGCGGGCTGGCGGCGGGCAGAGCCCGGCACCGGGTTTTATGGGCGCGGGCAGCCCGGCCGGCTCGGCGCCCCGGTAATTAGCATTTCATTAACGCGTCAGGGCCGGGGGTGGGACGCGCACGGCCGGGCTCGGGGGGAACTCCCCGGGCTGTGCCGGGCTTCGCTGCTCTGCCCCTTCGGCTCCGCTTCAGGTCCCTGCGCTCGGCGATGGTTCCGTGGTGACAAACACGGGGAAGGTGCACAGAAACCTGCGGGATTGTCGCCCTTCTGCAGGTCTCTACGCCTTCTCCCGGTTGAGTTGTGTTGTCGGCGCTGTTAGGGCAGAGATGGCTCAACAGGAGGCCTGCAAACTTTCCTGCGCGGGCTCCCAGCAGTTCTGTGATCTTGCTGAGGTATTCTGCTAGGGAAAGGACAGAAATTGGGTCATCAAGTGGCTTAATCCTGAGGTCTAGATGGTGGAGGACGAGGATAAAATACCACACTCCAAAAACTCTTACAGAGTGCCACGGGGCAGGGCTTAAAGGAAATTTAATCCGAAAAGTGACTGAAAGTTGAAGCCAGACAAACTTAGATTAGAAACAAGACATTTTAAAATCTGGGCGTTTATGACTAACCCATAAAATAGCATAGCTGGTGGACTTCTGGGTTCTCCACATCTGGGGATCGTCACACCAAGGCAGGGTGGTTTATGTTTTAGCTAAGGACATAGAAGCTGTCCGTGTGGAGACGCTTCCTGAACTCGTAATGTCTCTCACACCAGATATCTGACTGAACAATGTTCTGGTTTTGTAGTCTGCAAACAAATGACTTGGACTTTTGTCCTCTCTTCTCTCACCTCACAGGCTGTGTGAGTGCTTAAGCGCTTCTGTTCTTGGTTACGGACAGGCCTCCCTCTTGCTCTGCCACAAGGTTCTTCCTTGAGCCAACCCTCAGATTTATTCCTTTCACCCCAAAAATTGCATTTGGCCTGAAGCAGTGTGCGTTTGTGAGCCTGTTCCTGGAGCATCCTCTGGGAGAAGCTTTGGGAAAGCACCTGAAGCACTTACTGATGCCTAATCTTGAAAATGCAGGTTGACTTTTTGAGAGATGGCTGTAAGGGTGATGCTTACGGAAAGCACCTTTACACAGATTTTTCATGACCTTTCACAGATTCTTGCCCTCTTTAAATCCTGACTTTAATTTTCAAACCTCAGACCGCCTTTTCTTTTGTCTTTACAAAAAGACACTACTTAAATTTGTAGAAGCACGATTAAGGCTGTAGCGGTTGCCAGAAGTGGTGCCTGCAGTGTCACACGGGAATTCCCAAACTACCTCTGAACAGGCTATCAGAAGCTCTTAAGAGGCAGGGTTAGCTAGCTGTTGCCAAATGGCTTGGAGGTGGTACTGGCCAGTTTCTGGTGCCCACTCTGGCTTGTTCTGGGCTAGTCTGGCTTTTGCTGCCCTGGAGTAAGGTCACAGAGCTGTATCGCGGTGGAAAGTGCTGAAGGCAACACAGGAAGGGAGATGCCATGCAACTGAACTCCCGAGTCTCCACACGTGGCTGTAGTTTTCAGCTGGGGCCATAGAAGAGTGGAGTTGGTCATCTTCCCTTTTCAAGAAGAGCCTGGAAATCAAGATCCATCTGTAGCCTCTTGGAGGGGCAGAGGTCTGGGCACGTGCACCCCTTAGAGTGGAGAGAGAAAACCTTCAGTCTTCTCCATCTGCCACGAGTTACTAGGCATGCTAATGGAGAACAAATGGACAAAGACTTCCTGCTGCACAGCTGCCTGTGTGGTGTGGGCCTTTTGCTGAGGGAACCCAACACGGGAGAGCTTACGTTAAGTATGTTTTTTCCGCACATATCAAACAAAATGAAATACCTAATTTCTGCATGTTCCTATGCAGTCAGCTGTGTGATTTTTCCTATGATTTTAAGTGACTGTACAATAAATCTGTTTCAGTAACAGGTAAGCAGAATGTGTGTGCTGTAGGTAGTGGAAGTATTGTAAGTGTATTGCCTTTGTCTTTTGGGAGTGACTGCTGAACCATTCTCCGGATCGGATCTTCTGCCTGAATCGCATCCCTACCACTCCTGGTAGCTGCAGAGCTTTTTTGACTTGGGATCTCAGAATGTTTCTTCAGCTGCTGCATTTGCTTCTGGGCTCTTTATTGCTAAACCATTCTTAATCATTGGTGAAGATAGGTGTGCTTTGAAAAATCTTAGGTTTTACAGTAAGAAACAATCTTTTGGGGATTATTGCAAATTAAAGAAGATACACTTAGAATTTTTGAATGATATATTTCTTACTGTACACAGTTACCTGCAATAAAAGAGGGATATGTGCTTCATTTACGATGGATAGCAGGGAAAAAATATCCATGTGTAGAAGTATTGGGATGTGTTCTAGAAGTAGTACAGTGAAGAGGTATAGGTCGGCCCTGCACAAGTGTATGTTAAATCATTAGGACTCGCTAGATGTGCTCAGTGCTATCTTTTAAATAATGACGTGGGAAGGGGGACAAGTCTATGCCTGCTTCTCCTTTTGTGCCTCTGGATATTTTTTCCCTCCCTGATACTTCAGTGACTTAGGGAACTGCCGGTGTTTTCCCTGTTTGCAATCGTTTTAGCAGCTTTTGGCTTCACATTTTGAAGACCATATCTGTGTTAGAAGGCTTAGGGCCTCATTTGTGGTGGAAGGAACAGTGGTTCTACACAAACGTCTATAATATGGCTTCTTTTAGTTTCAGGAAACACGATTTGGGCCATCGAATTTCTTCCAGCCACAAGAAATGTCATCAGAACCTTATCAAGGAATGTCTTGCTTGTGTAACACCTGTGTAACCCTCCTTTGCAGGTTATATTTGCACACATATCTCTGCCTGAAGGGGGAAACTCTGAATCGTGGAGACCAGATGGAGGAACTTGAATGAGATCTTCCAGGGTCAAACACAATCAAGTTCTCCATCTCCTTTGTTCCAAACAACCCAAATCCAAGAGTACCCAAACCAGCAGATAAAGCACACTTATCTCCTTGCTACCTCAGCAGCAGCCATCTGATGCAAGCTGATTTTCATAAAAAGTATTTTCAGCAGAGCTTTTTATTGGGAAGCTGTTTTTCTTCCTACATGTGTTGTCTTTTGCTGGTATTTTCTCTTTTGAAATGGAGATAAAAATAGATTTTTATCACAAATGGCTGGATGAGGCAGTTAGCCGTATTCTGAGGTTTTGTACATTGCTACAGGATGCTTCATTCTATTAGTTTGCAGTTTTCTAGCATTTTATGATCAGGTGAATCATGCTACACCAGGAAACTTTCAAGGATGAACATGTTTTAGCTGTTATTTCTGGGATACAGTGTAGTCTTCCTTTTCTGTCATGGTCCGGATTTTTTGGATGTCCTCAGGCAAGTCCCATACTGCTTAGTATTTTGCAGTTGTATTGTGTCTTATCACGAGCTGGAGAGCCTGTTTTGCAGTTGCTACCCAATGCCATTGAAACATACCCGGAACAAGTGTGATCTAAATGACATTTTCATCATTTTGTGATTGACCAACCTTGCTGCTACTGCTTTCTTGCTTTTCTTTGGCTCCCATAAAAAGTAAAATGTGACGGATCAATAACAAAGCTCAGCTTCTTTGAAAGCATTTGAAAGGTGAAGGGAAGTATATGCTTATGTTTGGAGATGACAGCAGCACTGGAACCTCACGAGGGGTCTGATGCTTGATGTGCTTGAAATGTTTCTTGGTTTGTTTTAAGGGCACACTGATCATATGCCAGCTTTCTTCATAGAACTTCATTAAAATATATATTTATATTTAAAGATTAATACTTCAGCTCAGAAAGCAAAGCCTGTCCATAATCATGTTGCAAGAAAATTATAAGAGAGATAAAATACTTGACAGGGTTAACAGGAAACACTTCTTGAGGTGTGTCCAAGGAGTTGATTTGCCAGCTCAGCACGGATCTTTAGTGAGCAGGCGTCGTCTTCAAGCCAATAGCGACGTCAGTGCAGAGCTTGGATAAAGAAGTACCTCTGATGAAAGCTCTGATCCAACTTTGATGTTCTAGGAACCAGATCCTGAAAGGTGCTGAGCATCTTTAATGCCAGCGTACCTCTTCAGTTTGTTTCATATTTGCTATTTCATTATATTTCTGTTTTACACAGCTCTCTGTGAGGATCTGTGTGATCTGTGTAGATCAGCACCTCTCTTTCTGTTTATGGATTGAGATCTTGGTTATGTGGCAATTCTGCAAATGCTGGTGACCTGCAAGGCTGGATTTTGTGGGACAGAGCCCTAGCTGGCATAGCTGGATTCTGTCGAAGCCAGTTGATGCTATTACACCAGCTGTGCTTGAGCGCAGTAACTCTTTTGTAATGGAATCACAGTATGCTGGTTTCCCATTTCAGTTAATAACTTTGGAAAATAATGTAACTGCTTTTTGCTGATGAGGCATACCTGACTGCTTGGAAAAAATGTGTGCACAATACAAGGCAAATCTGCTTCCCTTTCTCTGCTGCATATTCAAGAGCACGGTAAAATATTGGTTGGAAAACAAGTGAGGTAAGAATGGGGGTGTTGCTGCATGACTGTAGAGAAACCATCGTGTTGAGATGATGGACTCTGCTGTCACTGTGCACATTCAGCCTGGAGCAGATGCCTTCTGCTGTGTCCACATCCACTGCTGCTTACAGTCTGGATTTCATATCTGTTCTCTTCTCCCTTTGCAGGTCTGTTATATAGGAAAATAAAGAGCACTTCAGCCTTTCCTCTGTGCATTTGGTACTTGAACGGGTTTGTTCGCGAAGGGCAGGCATGTAAGAGGTTGTAAGAGGTCCTGTTGGAATTACGTGATGAAGTATTGTGAGAGAGACCTCGAACAACCCAAACGCACCGCATTCTTTCAGCAGCTGGCGTAATGGACTATTTCTTAAACCCTCTAGGTGAAAAGTGAAGAGCTCTTTGCTGCATGGGCAGCTCTGGCAGTGTTGTTATGATACTGAAATACGTTCTGGGTCTGCAGAAGGCACCCCTTCTGGGGTCACAGCATTATACAAGGCTCTTTTCAGGGAGTTAAAGAATATGGGTTTTAACTTTTAGGAGATTTTAGACTTTGCATTTATGGAGAGAAACTTAAAAACCTGGTAGGGCTTAGGGGTACCACAGGTGCAAGGAACAATAAAAACAATTCAAAACAATATTTTTTTTTTAGTTAATTATAATGACTACTTGAGAAATATTTTTTACCAGATGTTGTTGTTTGGTATTGTCTGAAATCCTCCAGGATTCCTTAATGCAGATAAAGGATAGACACCCAGTTCATCCCAAACACAGCAGGTGCTGTGACTAGGTCAGCTCACTTCATTGTCTGCTGACAGGGACCAAAGACACAGCGCTTTGAGGGCATGAACTGTCTGGTAATATGCAAAGGAGGCTCTAAGGTAAATTTGGTATTCTCTCTCTCTTTCTTTTCCACAGCTGGAGTGAATGCTGCTTCATCTGGTTGCTTCATAGCAGTTTTTGCTGCTGCTGCTGTCATTTTACACGGGAAAGTGAGTCTTGGAGGGACGGAGTGATATGGGGAAGGTGGTGGTGTGGTCTGTATATAAAAAAAAGTGCTTGCCCGTGTTCTGCCTTACTGGCTCAACTATCAGACTCCCTTTAATGACACCCACTGTAATACATTTAAAATTTTAAAGTAGGTGTAACTGTAGAAACCTGTAGTGTGTGTGCATCTTTTCTCCTGTCAAATATTTTCGGTGAATCAGCCTATCTGGTAAAAGTCTGTAGTGGTAAATCTGTCTCTGTGTGCTTACTGCCAAACCTGCAGCTATTCCTTAACAACTGAGGATTTTACTGTAAAACACACTCAAGCTACAGGGAGGTATTTGTGCTGTTTTGTGGATTGCATCTGTCTCATTCTTGCCTTTCGAACCGCCTTCAAGGGAAAGGACAGAGTCCTGCAGTTGGTAATGGTGTGATCTGGGAGCTCCCTCTGCTGCATTTGCCAGGGCATCGAGTCTGAGGGGACTCTGGGTTATCGCGTGCCTGTCTGACTGCAGCAGCGCTGCTTCTGATTGATAACAGTGCAAGGATGAAGGGAATTGTGTCCGGTGTGTGCTCGACTGGTGACATGTTATGCAGTTACCAAGTGTTCTGCATTTCAGAAAGTGCTTACCTGGGTCTGCTGCTGTTGGTGTTTGTGACAGCCTCTGCCTATCGAGGGGAAATAGCTGTGGTCTGTAGCCACGCTGACATTCTAGGACTCAGCAAGCCCCTCATTTGTGTGTTTGATCCTAATTGTGAGTGATGGGACAGATGCAGCCCAGATCTGAGCAGAGCTGAATAGCTACAGCCAACTAACCTTAGCCAAAAGGAGGGTAAGTGTGAGGCAGAGGGCTCAGTTCTCTTCACCTCCTTCTAGAAAATACGTCTGGATATAGTCTGTCTTTGTCCAGCAGTTTGTAAGGATATTTAACGTACTGTGTTTGATACCAGTGATAAAAATGGTACAGTTAAAACTCCTGCATGTGGGAAGTCAGTGGGCCGAAGCACCTGTGGGAGTGCTCTGCTGGGATGAGATTTTAGTCACTGTTTTTAATAGTGGTGTCAGCTGCAATCTGTAACTGCCTGGATTTAAGATTCATTTTTCCATTCTAACCATTCTGTTTCATAACAGTAGAACTTAGGAGTGTTAATGATCTGAGTGGTAAGAGAGAAAAGGAATGACCAGCGAGACCTTACTATTCAAAGAGCTTGTTCCCTCTTTGTGGCCAAGTTTATGCTGAAGAAGTGCTAGTAGTTCAGGAGGATTTTTTAGGAAGCTGTTTTCAGATAACATATTTACTGAGAAATCACAGGATGCTGCAATTAGAAGCAGTACGTGCTGCTAGAATTATCTAGTTCTGCTCCTTGTCCCTCACCTCCACGTGCATACCCAGTATAGTTAGAAATACTCAGAAATTTCATGTAAGCATCCTGCTAGCACTGCTTTTTTTTTTTTTTTTTTCCTCCATCAGAATTGTCTTGATTGTACCAGCCTTATGGCATTACTCTGTCTTTCTGTTCCTCAGATGAGATCTGCAGCAACTGCTGACTTTGAAGAGAGCTCTGCACGGTGTGGTTGTGAGACAACACCTTTCTCAAAGCAAAGAACTGCCCCTGTGAACTGCCCGAGGACCTGTGTGCTGTGTAAAAGCATCATAAACTGCCTATGACCAAGTTCGGCCTTAGTGATGACGTCGAGCTGCTTTTCCTTACCTGTTTCTCAGATCAGAAGGTGAACTCGTTGCTCCCTCTTGTGGTATTTGTAAAAATGTGAAAAAAGTTTGGGAAAAAACTGCCTATAATGCTGAGAAAGTTGAGAGTATGCATTTTCCTCATCATTTTGTGATGAGTTAAATGAGAACTTTGACATCAGCTTAAATGGCATGAAAGTAAAAGATTTTATGAGATCAGAACACAGCTCTTAGCAAACATATATTTTTTTAAATCTGTATTGTAGCATTCAAACAGCCAGGGAAGCCAGGGAAAGCAGAAGGATGAAATACAGTTACATATATGCTCTGATCTTTTTTTTATTTTTTATATTTTTTATATGCAGGGGAAGGAACAGCTTAGGGCTATTTGTCTAATGCTGCCTAAAATTGTTTGTGGTACCTTTATGCCACTTGGTATATTTTTCATACCATCATACGTATTGTTGAGTGTTCTGCAGGTCTGCGATTCACAAGCAGAAAATGCCTCCCTTCTGTGCCTTATTAGCTTTCTTGACCTTAGAGCGTACAAAGCACTTAGAGGTCCATAGATCCTTCGCCATAGATAGAAATTATGTGAATTCCTACTCCAGAAATGAGAAAAGGAATAGTTGTAGATTGCAAGACCCCAGATTATTACAGGTTACTATATACTGTGTAAAGATGTAGTGCTTTCCTGGACTTTAATGCCCTATTTGCTGATGTTCTTTTTCTGGAAAAGTTTGTGCACTTAAAGGATGATTTTTTTGGTGTCTTTATAGTGGATGTCATCTGTGGTGCCAGGAGCCTGTCTGATGGGGACTTCATTGGCAGTAAGCCTCCTCTCCTTGCAATGGGCTGACAGGTTACTGCTTGCATATGTGGATGTCCAGAGCTCCAGCACACACGGATACTCAAAGGTAATGAACTTATATGAGGTCTGGTCTTGAAGATACGTAGAGGACAGGTGAAGAACTTCAGAGAGGTGAGCAGCTGTGTGGTGGTTAAAGCTGATGAATTGTGTTACCCAGATAGAACAAGAGAGACAGGCCTAGCTCATTTACACAGAACCTAATACATAGTTATTGCCTTTTTGGGCCAAAAATAAGCTTATGTAATTTTGATTAAACAATGATGGTATCACTGCCTATGTTTTCATCTGACTGAAAAAAATCTACAACCCTCTTTGGTAGGGGAGACCCTCTTTGACTTGCTTTAGTATCAGCTGCCTGCTTTGCAGTGTTCGAACACAGAGTCCAGGGTGTGAAAGCACATGATTCAAGCACAGCAGCTGCCTGCTGGGGAAATGTTTTGACCAGGTGGACCTGCTTGATAGCAGTGGACTATGGCCCTTGCAACTCTTGAGCTGCAGGCTTTCCGTGGAATGTTTTGTGGGAAGCATCTTCTTTTGCCTCACATTAAAACAGGGAAACAACCTTTTGCCACCTAAACAGCAGGACCTGGGCTAGTAGCATTCTATCACGTCTTGTCCTCTCTGTTGGCCTTAATTATATCCCGTTAGTGTCTGCAATCTCCAGTAGCACCAACAGTTTTGTGGACAACATGAACTACTGGTATTTGCTAAATTTATCATGGTTTTGAGAATGTGGTAAAAGATTTCGGTATTAAAGTAACCCTCTGATTTTGATGTGGTTCTTTTCATAGTTCCAGTCAAAATTGCTTTGCATTTCCCTTTGTTGTGGTTTAAAGAATTTGAGTCTGCTGCAGAGTGGGTTGTAGATATTTGTAATTTTAGAGCTGGCATAGGAAAAAACAAATCCAAGGAAACCAGTTGTTGCTTTATTTGAATTAGAAGCTGGGCTTTATGCAACATGCGCATTATTGCTTTATGCAATAATTTTACAGCAAGTGCTGCATGCAATGCTAGCATTGAGTGAGCCACCAGGGCTTGTATTTCCAGTACAAGCTGTTGTAAAAGTGAAATATCCTTGACTGAAATCTCTTCGCGTTAAGTTTCAGTCAAACATTTAATTAATATATCCAGGGTGAATTTAAACAGATAGGTGTCTCCTCTGTTACTTTTTCAAGGTGGTCACGTTGCAGGGGCCCCACAGGGGTTCAGATAAATATTTTAGTTGCTTAAAGTTTTTGCTTGGTGATGGAACGTGTCTCGAGGCATACCTGAGATGTACTGGAGTACTGATTGCTCAGGCAGCCCCCAGCCCCCTTTAGCCCTCTCATTGCATGGGCAATAGAGGATGGATGATTGCAGTGAGCTGTCAACTACATGCAAGTGGTGGATGAAAGATTTCCCAGGGAACTGGAGAACAAAACAGAGTGAAAAATGTTCCATTAAGAAAAAAAAAAAAAAAGACAAAAAAAAGCCAATGAACCAAAACAAAGTTAACTAGGAGGTTGTGAAAAACCTGCCTCATGGGTGCTGGAGGTGCAAGCTGCCTGTTGGTTGTTGTGCTTTAGGTACAGTCGGTGTTGGGATGTGCTAACTGGAAGCTGAAGCCTATGGGACAAATCCGTTTCTTTCTCTTTGTCCTTAAACGGCCTCAGTGCTGCTAGCTCCAGGCATTTATGCTGCAGGTGACAAGTGCTGGGTGGTTACAAAACTGGCCTGGAAAACCCTGAGAATACAATAAATAACTGAAAGCATGAGTTCCTTTTTATACGCTTTCTGGCTTGGAGCTGTTCGAGTTACATATGTGGCGGGTGTACTGCTCCCAGTACCTGCAAGGGATATGGCTCTTTTTGCTCTCTAAATGGAAAAGCTGAGTTTCTGCTGGGATCACATGGCTGCAGCAGCAGGGTCTTTAAAGCAGACCCATGAGACAGCGCAGCACTTGTGGTGAGTTATGGGAGGTCTGACAATGCTGTTTAAAGAAAAAAAAAAGCCTGTATCTTGGCTCTTGCTGCCCGTTTCCTTGCAAAACCCTTATGTGTACTGCTCTCCTTCCTAGTACAGACAGTAACATGATTTTTGTCCCCAAAGTAGCCCTGTAAAAGGGGAGGCTGTTGTAATTGCAGAGAAACGAAGCCAAGATTTATTTTTACATTAACCTGGAACATAAGTATCTTTCATCCTGTTAGGCTCTTTCACAGTCCTCGTTAATGGACTAAACTTGCTAGTTTGTCTCTTTATCATTTTGATAGACCTTTTAAATGAAATCCTGAGAGATCAGACAATTTAGTCCTGTGGCCAGTGGCAGCTTTTCATAGCAGTGATTTCTAGCTGGGTTGTACGTGCCAAATGTCCAGGCAGCTTGTGCTTATCAGCATCCATTATACTTTTTGTTGACTTGAACCATTAATAACCTGTCAGATTAGGTAATTAGGCTGTCTCTAGTAGCCAGGGGAAATTGTTTTTCCCTAACTGATGGTATGGGTTGTGCAGTTGTGCAGATAAGCACTTGGTCAAATGGTGGCTCAGGCGATTTTTAACTGGCCTTGCTGATGAATGCAAAACTAGTGCTGAAACGTTAGGGGCAGATAGCAACACAGAGACAGGCACCACGAAAAATAACCTGCCTCTTTCAGAACTCTATTCAAAGAAGACACTAATTATGGATCTGATTCTGCAAATCTGCTGCACATAGGAGTAACCCTGTTAATTTCAGTGCTGTGTGGTTTTATAAACATTGTTTGTTCCTTCTGAATTAAAGCTGATCCTGGACTTGGGGAACTAAAGGGATCCTCTGAAGGAGGTGCTGTTTTAATTCAGTGAACAAAGCTGGCTATACTAGTACCCACTGCTGCTCTGAGATGCTTTTTGTGCAGTGACCTTCTCTCTTTGGCACTGATGGAGTCTGTTGTGTCCAGGAGTTGCTTCAGCAGTTCGTAGATGCATGAAAGGACTGTTTGTTCCATTCAAGCAGGAATCCCAGTTCTCAGGTGAATGACACTTACCCGTTTCTAGGACCCATCAATCTTCAGCATGAAAAGGCAGAAGTTTGTGGCAGCATCCATCAAACAGATGTGTGTCACTTGAGTTACGTGAAGGCTTTCTGTCAGAACAGACAAGAAAATGAATTCTCCTGAAAAGCCATTTGGGTTTCCCATGATTGAGGACTCAGGTCCTCAGAGCTTGCCCGCTTTTATTTGTGCCAACTGATAAGACGGGTGCAAGAGTTGCAGAGGCTACCTTATCTCCCAGAATTGGTAAGGTGAATGAATTCTTACACAGAACAGCATTCAAAGAGAGAACCTGACCATACCCCCTGTCAAAAAACCTACCAATGCCTCTGAATTGGAACGACATGTCGGAGAGAAGCCAGCCAGCATGCAGCCAGTGACTCCCACGATCTGATTGTGGCTGCTGACAGATTCCCACAAAGGGCTGTGAGATGGCAGCAGCAAGATGTGCTCAGCTGCCAGTCCTGTCAGCTCTCCGTGACACCGAGCAGGGGTGCAGGGAAGCTCTAGGAGGTGGAGAGACGGAGTGCTCTCTGTGCAGGTAGATGTTACAGTGAGTGTCTCAAGAGGGAAGACTTGGTTCTGGCTTAAAGCCACATGCCCATGCTCACCTTGCACCCCAGATAAATGGAGCAGGGTCACAGACAGGTCTGGGGGGAAGTTGTCACTGCAGACACCTCAAAGGACCTGCTAGCCAGCCTGCCTCTACCGAGTCATTGCGCTTTGAGTCCGTGTGCGTTACAGAGATTTGGGATCTGCCACTGAGATACATGGCCCAAACCCAAAATCCAAGTACTTTGACAGGCCAGCCCTGTCTGGGATATATAGGAGAAGGAAACCTTCTTGTCCCAGTAAGAAGTCCCAAAATGGCATGTGTCTGACCAGTGGGTTTTCCTAGCTCCCTGATGTGTCCTTTGGGAGATGTACACAGGAATGTGAGCCAGGCCTAAGGTAGGACTGGTGCTTGCCCTGTAGATGTACCATACAGATCCCCAGGGGATCTTACCCAGGTGTTTCCTACCTGGGTAAGAGTAGGAAAGTTCTGTGCAAGAATTCGTTCCTTGCCTCTGTGCCCAAGGAATAGCCCGTGTTTGTGCTTGTCTGCAGCCCCTGGTGGGATGACAAAGCTTCTGCCTTTAAATGTCAGTGAAGAAATTTTGCTGAACCTCTCTGGCTGATAAAAACAGAAGATGACTTTGAACTCTCTCAATTTGATTTACTGTTTGAATTTCTTTGGTTGTGGGCTCCAATGCAGCATTAGGCATTTAATTTACTGTGGGTTCAAGGACTGGAGGCAGCTGATCTCTGGACAGCGATCCATTAGAAGCCAGCCTTATCCATCACCGAGATGGGTTAAGCCACTGCTTGGTTTGTGGAAGTGGCCAGATTGAGTGTATTGAGCTTTTCACTTAAGACAAGACTGAAATCCCCTCGCTTTGAAGTTCAGCAATCGGAATTAGACTCCAGCAGTTCCTGTCTCTTATTTTAGGGATGCAGTTGAATTTTCAGTATTGCTTTTCGTTAATGTAGTTACAGGCTTTGAGCTAACCTAATTCAAACGCAGCCTGCATCCTGGCTTTGTTTGCCTTCCCTCCTGTCCTCTTGTCCCCGTGAGGCACGCGTGTTGTGGTAGTGCCCGTGCCTGCCTCTCCTTAGCTTGACAAGCACAGCAGCACTGTTATAAAGCCCTTTGTCACCTATTTCTGGCAAAATGTTAGCCAGAGGATGGGCTGCAATAAATCAGAGGCCACTTTTTAGTATCAGGAGACAATTAAAGTTTGTAATTAACTTCCAGGCTGGGCAGCTTTTCCTTCCAGAATGTGAATTGGGCTCAGAGACTGTGACAGGGACGGGGACAAGGAGGCACTAAGGTGTGAGAGGCCAGAGTCAGGCTGCCCGCAGAGTGGAGCACTGCAGACGTGCAGTGGGATTCCCTGGGAAGCACGCTGTGTGCTCGCAGGTGGTTGCCTTCTAAAGCCATACAGGAACTGCTGAGCTGCAAGATCTACGTGCATCAGGGCTTTGATGGCTAATGAAAGCTTATTGTGGATTCCCTGGGAATTAACCCAGCGCAGCTCCCAGCTTCACAGCAACAACAGCCACGCAGTGGAGACCCCAGAAAGCCCAGGCTCCCCCTGTTACTTTTACTGGGGCTCCTTGCTAGCAGGGGAGGCACAGCCCACAACCCCAGCCCTGCTCTCCTGCACCCTGTGCCCTCCTGGTTCCTGCAGGGAGTGGGCCCGGGGCCGGGCTGGCCACGCGGTGTCGCCCGCCGGCCGCACACAGCTGCCTGCAGCACAAGGAGCTCCGTGTGCCGCCTCCTTTTCGTCGTGGAGCCCACTCGTCTCTGGAGTTGTTGGTGCTCCACGTGTAGGCCTGTATTTTGGCGGCATTACAGATGCCAGCAGTTAGGTAGGTGGACACGCTACTGCTCCTCACCTGCTCTCTGTGACAGCAGGAGCCTGAGGCGTCTCCAAATAACTTCTGGTACTGTTCTGCAGCATCCCAGGAAAGCAGATGAAATTAGCTTGTTTCAGACATCATGTACTGGTAGTAACTAAGAAAAAACAAGAGTTAAATGGTCAGAGGGCAAGAAAGGAGCTTTTTTCCTTCTCCATCTAAACAACTTATTATTCTGTAAAATAGTCTGTATGAAAACTGTGTCGTGTCTGTATGTTTAGTCTATAAAAACTATGTTTAGTCTGTATAAAAACTACTCTGTGTCTATCTGTTTAGTCTACAACAGCTGTGTTTAGTCTGTATGAAAACTGTTGTCTGTATGTTTAGTCTACAAAACTGTGTTTAGTCTGTGTGAAAGCTATGTTGTGTCTAGTCTCCAAAGGCCAAGGAGGAAAAAGGCAAAAAAATAACTGGCCTAGTAGAATTCAGCTGTGAACCTTACATAAAATTTAACAGGACCTTATGAACAGCTCCTATAAAAGTGACATTCAGGTTGGAAGGGAACCCCCTGGGCATCCAGGCAAACAGACACAAAGAGTAGGAAATCATATCTGAATCCCAGAAGCACCTGGCTGTGGATTGCACAAAAGGTAAAAATACACTTTCAAAAATCTTGGTGCATTTCAGGACACTACATCTTATTTTCAAAGGTGATGGAGCAACCAAGGTCTCAGCATCCTTCTGACTTGCTGCAGGAATCCAACCGTTGAGGTCTCATGAGCCCAGCAAGTTGTGCTGCTTGATATGGGGTAATGCCTCCAGCTCCTCCTTGTCCCTGTGGAGATTGCATCACCTGTAGTAGATCAGGCAATGGTTCAGCTCCTAAGCCTTCACAGTTCTGTACTGTAACTTAAACCATTGCTTGCAGCCTGTGAATGTGCTACACTGGGAGCTGCAGTGGCCAAAGTCTCCAGTTCACAACTTGTATGAAACTGGCTGAACCAGCTGAAGATGTAACCCTTCTTGCTGGTTATTCCTGACCTCTAAAGCTGCTGCAGCTCAGCCTGAAAGTGCTTGTGAGTCAGAGCCCTAAATCCATATCAGAAAGAAACCTGAGGTTTTAACCTGGTGTCTACTCATTGATGGTTAGAACAAATGTGGATCTGTTTTACATGTATTCCTTGTTTGCTTTGCTGAGCAACTGCTCCTTATCCCACGGAGAGCAGCTTCTCTAGGAGATGTCTGTAGTCAAACTTGCTAATAGAAGGTATTACTCTATTTGTCTAGGCAAATCACAAGGGTATTTCGGGGAACAAATGGCAAAAGAGGTGCAGTCCCCTGACAGTGTTAGATTGGCATGAATTATTGATCCGTTTCCATTGCCTGGAACACTTGGAACCCCAGCTGAAGTTGGTCACCCTCTGTTTTAGTCAGCAGGCTTGTTTTCATTCTGTCATCAGAAATTCGGGCACATTAGTCTAAGGAGCTTTGTTAAGAGTCCATGGCTGTGGCCAAAGTGCAGTAGAATGCAATTCCATGCTCTGTCACAATTCTGCAAAGTTGCATTTTGCCACCATGGACAGCGAGCTGTCTGTCTGTAAGGCAGTTGCAAAAGATAATCAGGTGACATGTGCACTGCCAACATTTGAAGCAGCACTTTGTGCTGGGAACTGCTTTTCATCTTGGCAGACATCCGTTCTGGAAGCCTCCCTCAGCTGTACGGCAGATGCGTTATCTTCCCTTTCAGGTGGGGATTCTAGGCAGAGAGCTGGAGGGACTGACTTAGAGCCTAGAAATAAGGAACCACACCTTCCTTCATGCCAGGGTCAGACCCTTTGGCACTGCAGGCCCTGGGCTATGTTTACAGCATGACTTCAGGTAGTGTTGTGGTGTGCAAACACTTGCTGTGTTTAATGCAAGTGGAATAGATGTGACAAACAGGGAGCCGTAAGGACAGGAGTAATGAAAACAGCAGTTTCACACTCCAGTTGGGTTTCAGTACGTAGCTCAGGGAATTGCCCTCATGCTAACAGGAAGCAGCTCAGTGGGATGGGATGTTGCACAAGGTAGGGTTTCTTTGAGCAAAGCCCCACTCCAACACCTCTTTCACTGCCCTCCATGGCTGGCCAAACCAATGCTTGTGTCCACCCCTTGGTGGACCGCTCAGTACACTGGCTAACTACCCATCATTTAGCTGCCCTACTGCTGTGCTGCCATTTCAGGTGGGTTCCTGCTTCATCCCGGGTAATGAAATTGCTCATAAACACACAAATGCTGGAGCTTGCAATGCTCAGGAAGCTGACAGTCGGCTGTGATAAGTGATTTGAGCAAAAATAACAATGAGATCTATTCTCAGCCTCGCCACTGACAAAGCAATCAAAACACACATGGAAGGATGTGTTTAGAGGAGGCAATGACATTCTCACACTGATAGAAATTAACCTTTAGTAGCCCTAAGGACCAAGGCAGGCAAAGTGGGAGGCAGATGTAAATTGCTCAGTCAAAATCTGTTGTTTGTGATTGAGATGAATGAGGAGACCTTGCCACTAGATTTCCATCAGTGCCAGTGCCTTGAGGGAATGAAAAAAACGTCCTCTAAAATACAGTGGGGGCCGGAGAGACTGAGAACAGAACTCATTCCCTGCCTGCAGGTAACTGACACCAGCTTGTGGAGGATTGCACTCCCTGTGATTCTCTGCATCACCAACGTGAGCCCACGCTGCTCAGCTAACCCAGCTGGGGGAGAGACAGCTGGCTGGCATTCCGTCCCCTCTAGTATCAGCCCCAGGCCCAAGTTCTCATCATCTCTGCGTTATCTTCACAAACCATGGATGTAAGGCGGGGCAAGGCAGGCAAAACAGAGCCAGACTCTGTTTCATCCAGTAGCAATCCCGCAGCAAAGCTTTTAGGTCAGAAATGGGCACTTTTCTAGAAGGGAATAGAGAAGTGTTTAACGTTTTCTGTAAGGGAAAATCCCAGAGAGATGGTGAAGATACTGGTGAGTTATCGCTGTAGCATCTGATCTGGGAGCTCTGTCAGTGGATGCAGGAAAGTTCTCCTGGCACGATTACAGTTTGAGATGGATGTAAAACCCACTAGAGCTATTTTGGATGTTTTTTCCTGTGCCTGTTTCTGGTGTGTGTTGTCAGAAATTGCTCTCAGCCTGCTGTTCTGCTCAACCAGCTGTCTTGGAGAGCTTTGGAGGAAGAGAGACAAAAATTAGAGGGGACCTAGATTAAGACTGAATCCAGAACTTCATGGTGGGTAGCTCCTGAATGTTAAAGACAAAGAAGATACAGAAGTTGCTTGGTTTTACTGCTTGGGTTTAGTCTTCCTATGGCTTGTCTCAATCCTACTGGAAGCAAGAGAGCAAGGCATGGCATTTCCTTCCATTGCCTTGTCTGCAGCATGGTGCTCATGGTGCTGGACGGGGGTCACCAAGACCAGGATTTGTTTGTCAGTCTCCATGGTTTTAGGCAGCTGGTTTGCTGCAAAGCAACTGTTATCACAGCTGAACCAGCAGCAGGGCTGGGAGATGATGTTGGGAACAAGAACCACTGACAAGAAAAGTCACGGACCCAGTTTTCTCTTGGCTTTTTGCTGAGAGTTTCATGTTGTGGCAAAAAGCACCATGGTCTAATGCACGCAGCTATGAGCATCCTGCAGCATCCAATATCGAGTGCAAGAGCATAATAAAGCATTGATCAGCTCTTCTCTCCAGCACAACGTGCTGTTACATACTGCTGTCCTGAAATTATTGATTAGCCCGGGGTCCTGCCGATCTTGTGCTGCAAGCTGTTCTTGTGCTCAAACATCTGTTCAGCCTCTTCTCACTCCTTGGAAATGAAAGCCACCTCACTTGTCTGGCTGTTGAGTTTTGCATGGTGTGTAGCAGCCTGGAGTATGCAAAGCACTGCTCATCTTGTAGGGTACTGGGGTGGGCAGGACACTGGGGTGGCTCACTGTCTCTCTGGAGTAAGGGTTGAATTTCTCATTTTGTGAAAACTTGCAAAAATCACAAAAATGTCGGTGTTTCTGTATTATGCCCCAGCTGTTTGTTGCACTTTCTTCATCTTCACCTTCTTATACCTGCTAACTTCTGGTACGTGGTGGGGTCAGGGTCAGCTTCCTGTGCCTCTGCTATAAGCCCAGGTCTGAAATGCAGTATGTACATAAACCTTTGTTACTTCTGGCTCTGGAATTTTGGAACCTGTGGCTATTGAGGATACACTTCGCTTCCTTCTTCCTATCCCATAGGCAGTATGTGCAGATTTTTCTGTTCTGTATTGGCACGAGTCCCCCTTTGTTCCCAACCAGAACTTCAGCATAATTAATAAGCAGACTGTGCCCAGAAAATGGTATTTGTGTTTGATGTGTTGGGACACAAATTTGCAGATTGTTTGGGTACTCAAAGAGCCTGTGACTCAGTAAGAGTCCTTCCAGCAAAGACAAGCTTTCAGCTAAACCAGACTATGTAATTATTTACCTGCTGTACCCAGTGCTTTGATCTAGGTTGTTTCCAGTCACTTGGAATTACAACAATGTCCTTTTCTCATACTGGTTTGCTACTGCTGCCCCCATAACGTGTCACAGATTCATAAAGTATAAAGTTGCAGATTCAGGTATGCTGGTTACTGTGCGAAGCTTGTAGTGCCGATAAAGTCCTGGAAGCCCGTGGTTTGAGTATTGCCCTGAGGAAACCAGCTGTGTTCAGTGAGGTCAGAAGTGCACTTCAGTTTCTGCAGAGCTAAAAGAGCATCTATAAAATGTCAAGAGGAGAAATTTATCCTTGTCTTGCATGTCCTCTTATTTATTACATTCCTCATATAATTCCGCACATACCTGTGCTTGTAGCTTAGTTTTGCAATTTTCATATCTCATCAGAGGCTCACACGCATGCTGTTTTAGAAGCATAGAATGAAACGTAATGGGAAAAGACTTATCTCTTAGTTTAGGGAGAGATTTATTCTCCTAGTCTATTTATATTGAATTAAGCTCTGTTATTACTCTGTCTTCTCTATTGATTACTTTCTCGAGTATGTTTAAAGTGAGCAATTGCCATGATCTTCTAACTTGCTGACATTTGAAAAGAGGGAATTCAAACACCCTCGTTTTAAGGTCTCTTTCTTAAATATATTTACTAAATTCTGTAATTTATCCATTATCCACCCCTTAGGTTCATCTGTCTATACATAACTGTGCCTGCTTGCATTGTGTGTGATAATAACACTCTGCGATGTGGTTTTCTTTACTGTAGGCAGAAAATTGGCAGCTGACAAATGAATCCGTCAGAATTCTGCGGAAAGAACACACAATTTCTGGATGTTTACAACTTCCAAGAGCATCACTGCAAGCATTTTATCACTTCAAGATTTCTCGGCTTGTGTAGTTAGCAGATCTTCATAAGGCTTGTCTGGAATTCTATTTCTTAATAACTCTAAATAATGTTACTCTTTGAAATCATGTTATCCATGTACCATGAGATCCAAATTTCTTCTATGCATATGGAAGGTAAAATGCCAGGCATATATGCAGTCTAGAAAACTGTTTTTTACCTCTAACTTTGAACATTACTATTGTTCTTAGAATCTGGAAAAGCAGGACAAATAATTTTGCATTCTGCTTTTTGGTGGGTTGATGTGTTCCTCTTTATTCAAAATTAGTTTATTTTCACAAGTTTTGGCTCCGTTGCATTGGTTATGCTTAAGTATGGTGTGAGACCCTTGGAGGTAGTCACTAACCTCCAGGCATTCGTGTAACAGAGTTGTTATAACACAGTGCACAGGGTACGTGCATAGGTACCCTCAGTCACTAAGGGGAGCTATTTTCTAACAGAAGTGAGTTATAAGAAGGGAAAAATGGGGCCCCTGTTGATGCCAAGAGAAAAACTGACTGATGGAGCACTTTTTTTTCCTGAAAATTTATGTTACATTGAGGTCCCATTGGTATTTAGAAGCCAGTGGTCCCTTTACCTTGGAGCAAGGCAGCATAGCGGGCAGAGCTCACAGGGGGTGCACCTAACTTGCGGAAGGCCAGATCCTCCACTGTTAACTTCACATGACTTTGGAAAAGGCTTCTGACCTGCTTCCCTGATGAACAGCAACATAAGTTCATGCCTGAATTTTTTCTTTGCACCTTGTCTAGATATTTATACCTGCGAACAGGGAGTGCTGAGCTGCCACCAAGAAAAAAGCAGAACTCTTATTTGGAAGAATTTCATAGTCACTTTGTGCACACAGAAATGAAGACTTAAAAGCTGTGGCAAAGGAGAGTAAGACCTGGAGACTGTCCTGAGCTCCTGTGGAGATGATCAGACAGAATCCTTCCCCATCTCAGAGCACTTCTGGCTTGTCATTGGTACGTTGTCTGTATTCATCAACTGCAGGGTTTGCCCTAGGCAGCCAAAAAGTACTGAAGGGATATATAGGCCCCAACCCTTGCATCTCTGCTAGTTCCCCTTCTTGTCACTCTGAGAATTATATGACATGTCATTTTCTGTCAGCTTCTTTTCTCCTTCAGGAGTGCTGAGGCAAATAATTTAGCTTGTTCCAGAAAATGTCATTTTTCTATCTCAATAAATTAGCCTGGCTGCTGTATCTCTCCAAGCCACTGAGACTGCTACACTCATAGCACCCCATGTGTCCTCCGGACTTGAATTTTTTATTATTATTTGTCTGAATGTCTTGCATCATCTTTTATTTATCCTACCCCTTTGCTATTCTTCTCATTTGTTCAGTTTTGTAACTTCAGTCTTCTCAGTCTTCACTGCCTGATGTTTACTGTCCATCTGCCTCTAGAGCTCTTTATGGCTTTGTAGCAGCCTTTATTGTCCTTTTATGTCCAAGGAAAACTCAGGTAGTGAATCATGTCTTTACCACTGAGCCCAAAATGGTCCTTTCACATACCACAGAACATGCAAGCCACTTGTCCTGGGAGTCTTGTGCAGTTCTTGTGTGGTTTGGTTAGTTAGTTAGTTAGATTGGGTTAGTTCTCAGTGACTTGGAAAACTCTTCATTTCCACCCTAGCAGTACAAAGGACTTGTATCTCATGAGAGCATGATCTCATGCTCACAGTGGCCCACCGATCACTTAGCGTTGCAAAAAATGCAGTGTCCAAGTCTTGACATTACTCAAAAGAAAGGAAATGGCCTTGCATGTGAAAATTCATGAAAATTGTACATTTGCTCCTCTCCTACAGGTTTGCTCAATGACTTGGAAAGCAGTTCAGCAGGCAGTACCACTGAAATGGCAGCTTCTGTTGGTGGAAGATGACACAGGAGATAAGGAAGAGAAGAGAAAGGAGCAGGCTGAGGAAGAGGTAGGTTCACATATGGAAACAAGATGGGAATTTATTTATTGACAGCTTTTAATATTAGCACTAGTTTTGGTATCATCATTGAAGGGGCAAGAAGATGGATAGGATTAGCAGCTGGGCTCAGGTAAGAGAATTACTGGGTGAGCTTAAGACTTAGGTCCTGTGAATTTAAAGCACGAGGAGTTTGAATACTTGCCTTTCATTTGCACTGCATCTGCTCACTATGTCTATGGAATCAGATCCAGTAATGTTACTGACACACTCAATTTAGATTGGATTTTGGTCCTGCTAGTCCTGTGGACAAGAATGGTTGTAGTTTTTTACAGGTAGATGTGTAAAATGAATGCTTTATTCTGCAGAACCATTTGAAGAAGACAAGATAGCAGCTTCGCTGTTGAGCTAGCATTGACTTTTCCAAGTTTCCCCCTCTTCTTTATAAACGGAGCATGTCTGATCTGGAGTCACTCAGAGGCAATAAGCATGAAATCCTATGACAAATGTCAGGAACCACATTTCAAAGCAGATTTGCTTCTTACTAAGCCCGTAAAAGACAAAGGTGTGAGTAAAGGCTTGAGAAGACAGAGTGAAGGTAACTATATTCAGGGACGTGATGGCAGGTGAGGGTTATGTGGGAGGAAGAGCCTGAATTCATATATAAGGATGTCTTTGTTACTTCATGGCCTGATCTGCGGAGGGTCTAAGTTTAGAGAATAAAGTTAAGATCTGAGCAAAGGGGAAGCAGTTACAGGAAACATAGCACATAGAGAACATGCCACCCTGAAGGATTTAACTCAGTTGTAGGGATTTATGGAGCAGCCAGCAACTGACAGCTTAGAGAAAGCCAGCTACAGAGATCTGAGTGAACAGTCCCCAGAGCAGTAACTCATTAGTGTCCCCAGAAAGACAGAACTATGTAAGTCTGTTTCTCAGGTGGAAGAGATGTTACCTTCCAGCAATGAAGAGTTGTGCTGATGAAGAATTTCTGTTGTAAAAGCTCTGCTTCTGACTGAAATTTGCTGCTCTGCCCAGACTCAGCAATAATGGCAGATTCTGAGGCCTTAACTATTTATACATATAAGGCAGCCCAGGATTATAGGGCCAGCATCAGCCTGATTCTCCTGTTAGCCTAGAGTAAACAAGTGAGCTCTCCCTTTTCTCATTTATGCGAAGAGTTTCAGGCTCTGTTCTCGGCAGGAGCAGGGACTGTTCTGTCCCTAGGCAGGGGAGATGCAGAAAGTTGTAAAGAGTGCAGGAGGCTGGCTCTTCGGCCAACCATCCTGGCATGGCAATGAGGTGCTTGGCTGGGAGATGCACTTAAAAGATGGTAGGATTGCTTCTCTCTAGTACTGCTTCTGCAGCCATGGCTGATGCAAAGTAGTTTCAATTTTATATCTTGGAGTAAAATACCTGCCATTTTCTTGTTCTTCATTTCCGAGCTTTCCTGTCCCTGAAGAATCACTGTGAACAGCTTAGAGTACTTTTCCTTACAGCCTTGCTTTTTTATTTTTTGAGAAAAACTGTGGTGTTTTATACTGTTAACCCATTATAGGAAAAAAATAAAGTGTTGCGGTTTTATTGTGAACTAGTGGTCTGGTTTTATCCACAACTTGGCCACAGTCTTTAACCTGAATGCTGTAGCCCAGGGACTGCAGAATGCATTAGCTGATTGAACAAAGAACTGATTTGTGGTGTAACAGGAGTTACAGATTTTGGCATGAGATTTGAAGAAAGCAGCTGACTGTTGGAGTTTTCTCTTGCCTTCATTGACTTTCCTATGTTATCTCCCGAGGCCCTCAAGCTGGACTAGTAGCAGTTATGGTGCTTGTGCACTTGAGGGCAATGTAAGATCCGTCTCTCTGCTTCGTAAAGATGTGCTCTTTGTCAAGGCAATTCTGAGCTGCTCCTAGCAGTGATCATATAACATTTTGAACTATTTTCTGACCTTTTTGTTGTTGTTGTTTGTGTTGGTATATATTAGGTATAAATTAGCTATAAAAAAAAATAGTAGAAACATGTCTCTTAATGTTGTATCTTTCATTAAAACCACAAATTTTAAAGTAAAAAGTAGGGAGAACAGTGAAAATTCTGAGTAGTTCAGGTCACAAATCAAGTACAGACTAGACTTTTGATAGGAAAGAGCCAGTACAGAAGATTCAGTTTCATCTGAAATCTAACAATCTGCTTTAGTCAAATAGACTGAAATATCCAGCAAAGTAAACTTTCCCTTCAACTTTCCGGGCAAACAAATAAGGATTCATTTATGCAGTGAAATACAGTGCCTGAATCTGACTCTGACCAGGCAAAAGAGCTAAATTCATGATCCTATTCCTGAGCTGCTCCTTGCTAGCTAAATCCACAGTGTCATATGCTCGGAATATATGCGAGTATCTCAGCTTTCAGCATGCCAAGAATTAGGCCAATATCTGCTTGTTCTTCTATGTATGAGTACTTGGTACATTACATTGCATTATTCTGAGCTACCAAATGTAGTGAGACTTCTGTAATTTTTTTTAATGTAGACTTCAGAAGTACAATGTTTAGCTGGTACACCAAATGGATCTGACTGTTTCCCAAATTTAAGGACCCAAGGCTGAGCAAACAGATCATTCTTAGATGTTGGAGCATCACACAGGGATAATGTAGCTCCAAGAGCAGTAACAGAAACACGCAAGTGCCACTGAAATGAGCTGTGGATGGCCTGGAAAAAAAAATAAAACCTAATGTGAAAATTCAGGCCATTTACCTCTGATCCTTCATGAGAAGTGTTTATACTGCAGACTGCGATTGATGCTTAGTGACGATGAGGCACGGTATGACAGGGAGAATTAGGAGCCAGGAGAAGATTGGATGCACAGCCACTTTCTCCCCTGTCAGGCTGGCCCCTCTGAGTTACTGCTGATGCTGTTAATGTCTCCAGCTCACTTCACTCTACTGCTGCATGGAGGTGGGGGTGTTTCGCCCACTGCAGCTTGGTAGCATGCACTGGCCACATTTGTCAGTGGGGGAATGTGGTATGTTTGTTAATCAAGCCAAATTGCTTAAAATGTTTGAAAAGCTACCTGAACTTCTGAGTAAGTTCATGCGTTTGTTGTCATGGCAGCTTTTACTGACTGGCTGTATTGCAATATCCTGCACAACTGGGCAGTTTGATAAAAAAAGGGAAAAAAAATGTTCTAGAGAGATGGTGAGTTATGACCCTGTCTTTGGATGAGTGGAGGTTTCAGGGATGATTTCTGTTCCATTTCCAAACAGTCCAGTGAAGAACGCAAACACAGAACTCCCTATTCTAGTTGCTTATTTTAGAATTAGACTGCCTGCTTTGAGGGCTTTCTAATCTCACATGGGTAGTCTTATTTGTGGGCAGGCTGCACTCCACAGATCTTCATTTTTCCTCAATGAGTATAAGCAAGGAGTGGGAATTGGACCAAATGACTTGTTGCAGCATCTCGTTCTGTTTGTTAATAGTGGTCTATCAGTTACTGCTAAACAAAAGCTTATGAGAGAGCTGGCTACCTTAACATGAATGTGAAATTTGCCAGGTCTTTATTACCTGTATTATATACATCACAGCAATTTGTTAAATTATTCTCCTGGAGACAAGAATTTTATGGTTAGCATGAAGTTAGAAATAGTAGAGCCAGGGTGTGTAGGGGCAGCATACACATAGGTGTTATGCCAGTATAAAAGTCATTAATTCGAGGCTACTATACATAAAAACACTGAAAATAAATTATATATAAGAAGGGGTTTTGTTTTGTTTTGTTTTGTTTTCTGTTTGGTTGTTTTTGTTTTTGAGGGAGAGGGATCTTTTCTTGGCAAATCAACTAATTCAAGGTGCTCTTTTGTGTGGGAATAAAATCTTTTTTTTGATTAAGCTGTAAATTGGGAAACTTTATAAAATAGGATTGTAATCATAAAGAACTGCTAATTATGGTATGAATAGTGTCTGCTGTGGCTTCTCCTAAATATCTGAGTTGACTTTATCAAAGAAACAAGGCAGCTATAGTCAAAACGTAGCAAATGAAAAAAAAAAAAAACAACAAAGATTGGAGTTGACTGCTTTTTCTGTACTGGAATATTCCGGATTTTGTCTCAAGTTGGAGCAAGCTTTATGGTTCTCATAGCAGAATCAGGGGGAATGGATGGAAAGCTGAATTGTTTCTTCTGTGTTGAAATAAAAATGTAGTCACAGGAACAGAGAGAGTAGTCTTAAAGAAGGACCAGAGAGAGTGGAAGGAGCAGATGAAGAAAATGATAACAGAAAACTGTCAGGGTGTTATCACCAGAGATTGGAATCGGAGAGTTGAGACTGTCAGTGTTGGGGTGTTACGTTTATTATACCTGGTCCACGTATTATTATTACCTGGTCCTGCTCAGATGAGGGCAAACTACAGCTCAAGTTGCAGTTCTGCATTTGTGTTGAATACGGTCTTAATATTCCGAATGTCAGACCAAACCACCCAATGGAGGAACTCGAAGTTTTTGTTTGTTTGAAACCTGGAATTTCTCTTGATTTCTCTTGAATTTTCTGAATCTGTCCCTGGGATGCTGCTTGTAAGAATGTTTAGAACTTAATGCTGGAAATTCAAGAAATTCATGCAAATATGGGTAGTCTTGGTATCTCTAGGGATGTAATGGAAGCCATAATCTATGTTGATTATGGAAACAATTCTCCAATTATAGAACCACTGGATTTTGGAGATACTTTTTTTTTGAATAAGCATTTATGTTTGATTATTATTTATTTTTAATGCTCAATTTAAACAACCAAAATTGTGATCTAAACATTACATTAAAACTTCGTCATGAGTTGGTTTGTGTATGTTTCCAATTGCTTTTATGTTAAATGGCTTACATGGATGGTGTTACTTGTCTTGAAAGCAGGTTGACATACATATTAATGAGGCCCAGGTGTTAACTTCATGCTGTTTCTTTCCAACTAAGAAAATCTTTACATTAACTTAAAATGTTTTTTTACATGCTTCTTGCAATAATTACATGACAGCACTTAGTGCACCATAATGTTCCTACGTTACAGCCCCCTCATTTTATTCTTTCCCTTCTTGAGTCTCTTTAAGCTGCAGACAAAACAGGGAGCTATAGTAGATACAGTTCAACATAAGCTGAGTACAAAAATACTGAGGAGCCTCCCAAAATGCCAGTAATAAAGTGGATTCAGTGCTCTCTAGCCCAAAAGACAGTCTTGGTGTATTCCTAGCTTCCCCTGACTCTACATAGCTTTGTAGCAGTTCTTTAACTAACATGACTTTCCTTATTTTCCTTGCTGCCAGAAGATGGTACCATCTTATATGGAGATGAAAAATGTTGTATTTAGGTTTGCAGCACAGATAGCTTTTACTCGTGACCTTTTATTTTAAAGATAAGTAATGCTGTCAGTGATTGAGGTGTGCTCTTGGACTTGTTGGAGCAGGCTGGGCAGTTTGTACAGCTAATCCTAGGAAAGACACTACTGGGCTGCAGAACTGCAATTCAACTGTAACTCCTGCAGCACTGACTTCATCCTTTGCTTGCATGTGAGGCCTTGGAAGTTTCTAAAGCATTGTTGGCTGTTGCTGGAAAGCAGAATTCATGTGTGTTAAATGAAATCTGCAGAATTATGCTCTGCACAGCTCTGGCTTAGCATGATGGATGTTTAATTAGCAAAAGGAGCAAGGGGTGAGCATCTGTAATAGCTTGTCTGAGAAGAGCTAGTTGAATGTGGAGGGATATGAGAAAAAGGAAGAATCCTTTAAAATCTGAGCCATCCAAAACAAAGCTAAATTCCAAGGAGTTTAGGAAGAAGACCCATGTTTCATAAGTAGACCTAGTTCCTAGTAGAAGCCCAAATCCGAATTCCTTTGGATGTTGGACTCTAGTAGGACTGTGTGGTTTCACTCTGCTTGTGATAGCTGATTCTTCACATGCATTTCAGTACCTGGCACAAGAACATTGTTCATCTGAGAGAGTTTAATCCTTCAGGATGCTAGACTTCATGCCCCTGATCTGATCAGCCACTTTGGCTCTAGTTCTGCATGGGACTTAGGCACGTGCTGAATGTAAGTATTAAACTCATGCTGTGTAAGAGCCGAAATGCTTCCTATCCTGCAAGCTTACTCCCAGGCCAACTAATGGCTCATAATGGGTGTATTAATCCCTGGTTATGTAAAGTATTTGGATTGCCCTACTAGAATAAATAGCTCGGTACATTTACATCCAACACAGACGCTTATTTATAGGTTTTAAAGGATCAGTACAAGACGTACAGGAATAAATATATCTTTAAAAAGGAAAGAAAAGGAATTAGATTTATTCAGCTCAATTTACTGCATGTTGCTAAAGGACAGTGTATATATAGCAAGTGTATGTACTCAGGTTACAGAAATAAATTGATTTAGTAGTGTTGCTAGACTGAAATGGATGTAAAACACAAAAGTATTTTAACAGCAAGCCAAGACATAAGCAATGAGTTATGAATCCTTTCAATTAAATTTTTAAAAACATGTTTGTTTTCCTTTTAATTTGAAATTACGAGCTCAATGAGCACTTAACTTTATTTCCAATATTAGTTACAGGTACTAATGGCTTCATTTACATTAGGTTAAATCATTACATTAAACTCTTGCTCAAGCAAATCTTTTTATGGGAGTCACTAAGAGTTCTTGTGTTAGGCGACAGGGCCAGAATTTACAGCTTATGGGAGTTGCTATTAAAATGTTAGCTTCTTTTAATGGATAGAGGTGTCAAATAGCTGCTCCCTAGAAGATTTTTTTTAGCAATGGGATATTGGGTGGGTCTTTGTAAATGTTTTAGTGGAGAAGAGCTGTTTGTGAAGGTGGTCAAAGAAAGAGTGGAGAGCAGAAGGGCTTTGTGGAAATAGTTGATGATTTTTTTTTCAATGGCGGGGAGGAAGTGCTTGTCTATTTTTGTCAATGTTTTGAAAAATGTCATCGGTTCTCAAGGACTGTCAGCAGGTTTGTGAAGCTGGCACATTGGAGGGTGATAGAAAGAGAGCATTTGGCCTGTTCTTCTCACCTAGAAACCCTGCTCCTCTCGCCAACCCCCCGACAGCTGAGATTTCACTTCTTCACAAGTCTGCGAGAAGGGAAGAACAGAACCAGAGCTGGAAGGGACCTGCTAAGGGCTGGCCCCAGGCACGAGCACAACGTGCTGTTGCTCAAGGCAGGAAACAAGTGGAGAAGGTGACCACTCTGCCTGCTCTATTTTACAAAGCTCCTGGTGGAGCACTGGCTCTTTTGGCTCCACAGTATAGAGAGGAATTTACCCTCCAGAGCCTGTGGTTTGCATCAGAGCATGTGTGGCATTTTCAGGTAGCATCAGGCTGCAGGCATCTCTCCTGAGCATCTTCTGCAGGCATGGCAAGCGAAAACTGGAATCTGCCAGACTTAGTGTCCTGCAAGAGCAGAAACATGTACAACTCATGTACCACAGCACAGGCATTGGTAATTCCACTGGCTGTTCTTGATTTAAGCTGAACCTCCGTGTCATAACTGGAATTTCCTCTGTGAGTCTGGGCTTTCAGAGAGGTCTGTGTGTAACCAGGGAGACTCCAGCAAAACCTGCAAGAACAGAATCCTTTTGCTGTAGTCATTAAGCTAATGAGCCCCGGTAGGATGGCACAAGGACCCAAGGGACAGGGCAGGAAGGAAGCAAGAAGGCTGATGTAAGCTGTGGCCAAGGCAAAAGAGCATGATAAATTAAGTGAAAGTGCAGTTGTGTTTGCCTTGGCTGCTGCAAGCTTGAAAGATTAGCAGATCGATGGATCCTGGCTGCGGAGGGTGAGGAACAAGTGGGCTTGTGAGGTGTGCAAGTTTTATATTAGATGTAAAAACAAGAGTTCATCTCTTGGATTTGTAAAGCTTTTATAGCTCTGATTGAGATGATGAACTGATTCTAGATGGGAATTTCAATTTTTAGAAATACTTAGAATAAAAGTTATTACGTGAATGCCATACTGCTACCAGGAGACAAATTTTTCACTGCTGGAGCAAGAAGTCTTCGAAGATGACTACAGAGCTGGTTGGGTCCATTACCCCTGAAGTGATTTTTCCCCAGCCCAGCTCTGGCAGAGGTCAGTATGTTGATGGGACATTTGCAGGGAAGCAAACAGGGTGCTAAACTGTCAGGCAGGGCGTGTTCTCAGCTCCATGGAGCCCAGCTCTCACTGTCCTGGGTTCATAATGACTGAGAGAATAAAACATTCATTGCAGACTTAAATTATCTCTTTTGGAGGAGGAAGTTCTTTGGTGGGATTGGTTATCATTTGAGTACAAAAAGTCCCCACTACTAACTTCCAGAGTGAACATCAGTATTTTTTAGAGACTTCTCCCATATCTCATGCCTGGCTCCTTATAAAGTGAGTGGAGAGTTCATGAGACCTCAAGCAGCAGACACCAGACTCATCCTGAGGCTACTGTAAGCTGTAAACGGTTCTCAAAAAATCTGTTAAACTAAAATGCAGCATCTCTCTGCCTCCTTACATAGAAGCTTGTCTTTTTCTTTGTGAGGTGTTCTTGTGCTATAAATCCCAACCACTGAGATGTGTGTAGTTGACATCAGGTTTTGAAAGACAGCAAAGACTGACTAGACTTTCTTTTTCTAGAAATTATTCATGATTGAAGATGGGGAGAAGAAACAAACAGCACATGCTGAATGCTGGGGAGACAATACTCAGACCATGGCATTCGCTAGCTGATGCAAGAACAGATCCAAATTGAAGTGCATGGAGATCTACGGACAAGTTAGTATTTTCACTCATTTTTATTACTGCACAACATTTCTCATTATAAAACCTTGCTTCAAATTGTCAGTGACTTTTCCACCCTTTCAACATTTAGTTGAAATTTGTTCACCTTCACTCCAACTTGTAGTTCTTCTGAGATATTCTGAGCGTGTGTAGTTCTCTGGATGTTGGAGTAATCATGGACGTGCTGTCACTCCACTGAAGTAATCAGATATGAAGTTACCCATTAATTATGGAGAGGGGTGTGCCTTTTCAATGCTTCATCAACCCCTGTGTTGCTGACATTGAACTAAAGACTGTTAGGAATGTCTTATTCAGGATGCCCCGAGGAAGGATTCTAGTTATTTTTATAAATACCCTTCATTTCTCCTGCTTTCGAAAGGCTTCCTTTCACAAAACACCTCTTCTCTGAAAGAAAAAGAAACAACCCCCCAAAGAACAAGCAAAAAAAAACCAAAACCAGCCAACAAAATTTGCTGTCATCTGCAGTTTTTAAGAAATGGCTGAAAGTGCACTTGGTACTTGAGTTCCCAGGAGAGTGTCACAGTGGGTGAGGCCGGTGTGGTAATTGCTGACCATGGGTAAGACTGAGGGGGAGTGCTTGAAGGAATAGTAACAAGAGATTGCTGCTTACAGCTGTCCAAATTTGTTCTCCTTTGCATCTCGGTAATGAGCAATTAGGACTTGCAGAGCAGCTTTATTTGTTTGCCCTGGTTTGTTCAATGTGCCAGGGTTTGCCTTATCTCCTGACTTGTTATGAGGTCTTGAAATTTTCAGCTAGTTGCTGTTAGGTTTTTGCTGCCTTGGAGGCTTCGGAAGAGCCCGTTAAATCACAGTGTGACTGCAGAGGGGCTGGAAGCAGCGTATTGAGGCAGTCTTGAGATCTAGGACAAGCAGGCTAACTTTAGGGTATCGGTCCTCACTGGAGGGTGGAAGTAAACTTCCAGCTGTGGCCCAGGTTTCTTTTGGGAGGGCACGCCATGCAAAATAGGCATGGGGTGCTGATTCTGGAGCAAGATGGAGGTTCCTTTGTTCTAAGGCAACTCCACGTCCAGTGGAGGTGGTGGAGGCATTTCAAAAGGTGGCTGGGATTTCTTCAGACATTTGGCTTTGAATTGTTAAATTTAGCTAAATGGAATTTCTAAGCTGGGAAGTTCCAATCAGCATTAGGGCCTGGCTCTTCAAGCTTGGAGTGCCCTATATGGCTATGGTAAAATAGGTTGGATAGTTCTTGTATGCCATGTGAATACCTGAGCCTCCGAGCTAAAAAGGCACCGTACTCCCTACCTCGAGGGGGTACATACACATTTCATAAAGAGAACAACAACTACTGTAGGAGATTGTGTATCATCAAGCATATAATGTCTGTTGCTTAAAAACAATCAATTTTAGGCTATAAAATTATATGTATAAATATATAATAATCAATAATCAGGCTCAAGAAATAATTCCCAGTGTTGTTTACAAAGTAGACCAGTTTCAACAGAATTGAATTGGTCCAGAGAGATCCTGGTGTTTTTTAAAAAAAGACAAACACTACCCTGATAAACAGATTTGAAACCTTATTCTGCGATGAGTAGAAAAAGGATTTCTTTTATCTCTATAGATTTTTCTTTTCCTAGCTGAATTAGCAGATAGGCTGTCTTGCTGATTTTGTGATAGAGTGCAGCTGGCAGATTCTACTCTTTGCTGTTATTTGAACAAGTTCAAAGTGAAACAAAAGTATTTGGGGCTGAAATGAGTAGTTCGAGCCAAAATGAATAGTTACTGTTTTATGAAATATATTTTTTTTAATATAAATATATATGTATATATAAAAATACACGTGTGCACACATATGCATAAATGTAAACAAAATAAAATAGCTTCTGGTCTACCTGAAATGTGTTTTTCTCTCTCCAGCTAACCAACTGATCCAAAGGGATCAGTTATTCACACATCTCTATTGGTGAGGGATGTTTGCCTTTGTCAAATTGTCAGGTTTGTAATGAAATTGTAGTATACTGTAATAGCTTCTTTCACAATTTTCTTTTAGGGCTCTTCTTCACCAGCTCGCTTAGAAACCTGACTTTTCAAATATAAGGATCCTGTGTCACCAACTTCAACCTAGGCTATAATTTCACCACATAGTTTTTCAGTAAAAATTCTAATTTCAGAAAGTGTCTTAAGGCAGCTGCTTTTCTTCCCCTTTAGGCATGTTTGGTTTCTCTTCTGACTTGTATCAGAAAGAGTTGGGGGGAAAAGTCATAATTTCTTCTTTTCTTTTTTAGTAACCTTTTCATCAAACATGAAGAGCTGCATGTCTTTTTGCTTCAAATAGTCTTATCCTTAGGCAATGGTAAGTAGAAAAATGTGTTTCTGCCTTGAAAATCTTATCACCTTGCTTTCAGATTCTTCACTTCTCTTGTATCTCTGTGCATCCTTTGTTGACTGGGCATGTACTGTAACAACATTATTTATGTTAAGTACAGGAAAGAGCTGTACATTAAGAGTTCAAAGGCAGTTTGTAATTCAATAGAGATCAGGCATTTCTTTGATTTGCAGCTGGTTTGAAAAAATGAAAATGAAATACAAATCATCATTTCCTTCCCTCAATTATTTTGAAAAATAGAATAACATTTATGCTTTAGAAAATGATATTTTCTTAATCTAAAAATTATACTTAAATAGACATGGTTATTAGGAAACTTTTCTAAATGTGCAGCTTGGGGTTAATTTGATATAAAGAGGACAGTCATGAGTTTATCAATGTCCCTTAGTGGATAAACAGGGTAAGAGCCCATGGGATACCAGAGCCCTCCCCAGTCCCTAAGTAATGGAACAGTTTTTACTCAGATGCAGCGAGCTAGACAGTCAGGCTTGGGTGACCAGAGTGGAAAAGCTGCTTGTTTTGCTTCTCCAGTCTGTCCCTGAGCTGAAGGAGATTACCCCCCCCACCACTTGGGTCTCAATAAGGGCTCTGCAGGTTCAGGAATCTCTGGACACCAGGGGTAGCAGGGCTTTGAGGTCAAGGGGCACTGCTGTGAGAGCAAGGAGCCTGGAGCCAGAGGGCTGAGGTGGGCTACCAGAGGAGAGCAGGACTCAGCAGGACCCTGTGTCCCCAGGGTGCTGAGCAGGTAGTGGGGACGGGAGGAGGTGTAGGTGTTGCAATCACTTCTTGCATCTGAGCCAATGGGCCATTGCTGGGACTGGAAATAGATGTAATTTTAATGCAGGAGATATAGGGTGATGTGGGATGTGTCCCATTCCAGGTGACGTTAATGAGGCCTGTGGACATGACAGGAGAGAGGACACCGCAGATTCTTCAGGTTTGTAAATCTCATCCCTCTAGCAAGCCCCTGAAATATTGGATCCGAGAGGCAGTCCTAATGTTTTACCAGGTACTGTAAGCAGCGCGGCAAAATGATTAATGAGACCTGGCCCTAGCTCTGTCAAAGCCAGATCTGTTGGGCTGCACAGTTTCTTCTTTTTTGGAATATTCTGCTCAGCAGCATGTTGCCGTACAGACTCATCAGCAAATGAGTAGCAGATGGAGCAGTGACACATTTTATCTTGCAGCAGCAGGGACATTGTATGTGCTAGGAGCTTTCAAGAAGTTAGTTTCATGTGCAGTATGTGATTGAAAAAAAAAAGAAAAAGCTGCTGATAGTTTTTTTCTCTGCAAAATTGCAGATGGACAAACAGAGAGGAAGGCAGTTGTCTCCAGGGTTGCAAGGCAGTAACAAGAATCAAATGTTCAAGAAGTTAAAATTAAAACCATTGCCATGGCAAAAACATGCATCTCTTCATCCTGTGCCCAACTGATGCACCATGGATTAGTTTTTGTTTCAGGTAGTATCCTGTCAGTGAGGGCTTTACAAGTTGGTAGGTAGAGTTACTGCTCTTTGAATGCCGGGTGCTTCCTGTCGTGAGAGCAGTTGCAGTTATCCATATCTTAGGCCTTGTATAAATTGATTCTTCCACCCCTCCTAATACGTAGCAGATGAGACATTGTAAAGGAAATTTGAAAAGGAATCTGAGCTGAGATTAAGTTTCGGGATTGTTTGATTTCTGGGCTCTGCTGATGCATACTTCTTCTCATAAGCTCCATGCACCATAATGTTTACTACGATGCTCAGACTGGAAACTGCTGATTTGTGGAGTTCTGGTCTGGAAAAGCAGGCGTTACAAGGCAAGTTGTCTGCATTTGTCCAGACATCATCTAACACCAGAAGATCCAGCCGTGTTCCAGGTGTGTGTGGGGTTTAACTTGTGATTGTCCTTGCGGTAACTTATTTTCCTCTATTTTAGCAGACACACAGGGGGATGAATACTGCCTGGTTTATGTAGGCAATGCTTTCCTTTCTTGGTTGCCCTGACATTCATGCTGCATTCAGGGATTTGGCAAGTATTTTTTCTCAGTGACTGTACTGATCTATCCAGAGAGAGCATATGCAGTTGGCAACATACTGCGTGCCTTGCTGTTTACCAGGAACGAGGCACATCCGTAGATGTCAATTTGCCATGGCAATGCTGTACAGTATTGGTAGATTTGGGCCAATGCACCCAAAAATGTCACCGCCCTCCCAGAATCTGATTATTCTTGAGATTGAGCTTGTTCAGATGAAGAAAGGTACAGGTAGCAGCAGGGAATCAGTCACAATAAACCAACTGTCCCTTTCTGTCCTTTATCACAGTCTCTACTGTGTCTTCTACAATAATTAATATCCTGTTTTAGTGTGCATAAGACATAATTCAATAGTCCATTCTCCTCACTTGCCCTTTGTTGTGACGTCCTTGAGGCACAAATGGCTGTGACTTACAACAATAGACGAACTGGGAGCCATGTGCTGGGCTGTGAGGTCTGTCATGCTGTGCAGAGATGGGAAATGCTGGCAGCCAGCTTCAAGCCTGGAACTTCCTGAATTTAAATGTGTGGCTGCACTGCATTAGATTAAAATGTGGTGACTACTGGGAGAAGACAGAAAGAGCAGAAGTGGGACACTTGGGTGAGCTCCAGAGCTTTCCAGACAGTAAAAATGCCATGGTGGGAAAACCCTTCCCCTTCCCCACAACCGTTGGCCAGACCAAATTCCCAGTCCCAAAGCTTTTGAGACAGAGAATCTGTAACTCCCTACTGATGATCTTTCTGCTGGCTGTGGTCTAGTAAGACAACAGTCGGATGTTTTTTTTCATAGATGAAAACTTTGTTAAAGCACCCAGCTCTGCACCCAGACAGCAAAGTACCCGAGGTACCTACCCAGAGGCACACGAGTGAGTTAGTGACCATGAAATCTGAGAGTCCTGCTGCAGCTAGGTAGAATTTAAATAACCAGTTTTGCTGAGAACCCCCAACCAGCTCTTATGAACAAATAACAAAACTTCCCTGAAGAGGGTCTGATGTATATGCTAGTCAGGGAGCTTTGAGTGCTTTTGGAATCAGATTTGTTTTCATATAGAAGGCTGATGGAGAGGAGAGAGAAAAAGACAACCCTTTTTATCCTTGGGATCAAAGTTTAGATGAACTCTGAGATGCGCTTATGAAGCTTGGCCGTCCCAAGGCCAGCTCCTCTACTTATATTCTGAGCAGAGCTGCTGAGATCTCACAGTTGTTCATATATACCAAGGAAACCTTCGTGCTGCTCCGCCAGGTATGCTTTCCCTCCTTTTTGAGGTGTGTGTAGATACGGATACAGAGTTGTGCTTGTAGGCAGCAAGTGACCAATGTGATGTTCAGGTATGGGAAACCTGGAAGTTATCACCTGTCAGGGACACTGCCTTGTGTGAAGGGCATGTGTGAGAGGTCTAGGTGCATTTTAGTGTACGTATTCAGTCCTGAAAGAATCAAAGTAGGGTCATTTTTTCACACTTAGTGGGGGTTTTGTTTTCTGAATTTCAGCTGAAGACTACAGTAGAGCCAGTCTGACCTCTTTTTGGTAGCATGTAAAAATGATATTCTAATGACAAGCACATAAGTCCAGATATTTTCTGCTCTTCTCTCTCTCTCTGAAGATCAAAGACCATCTAACGACGACAGTAATGAGTCTCCCAAAGGAATCAAGATTCAGGATTTAATATTTTGCCATTTGAAAACAATCAGACCTTTTATCACGGGAGAGAAAGGGAGGCACAGTGAAGAAAAAAGCATTCTGACAACAGTCAGCAATGCTGCAATGCTCCAATGATCTGTTGAAATACTGGCCTTGTCACACCTGGCTAGGCTGGGCAGAGCTGTAACAAGAGAACTTATTTTCTCTTTGAAATCTTTTTTTTTTTTTTTTCCCCTCCTTTGTGAGAGAGAATAATGAGGCAGTTGTTAGCACACAGAACTTTTACACCGGGCTAAGGAAGGTATGGGGGCAAAAGCTTTAAAGTGCCTGTCCATTATTTGATATATTCCGAGTTGTGATTTCTGAGGCTTCATTCTGAGGCACACATTCAATGTGGTCAGGGAAGGTCTTGCCGTACACTTTAATCACCTGCTAATCTTTTCAGGGACATTGACTTGCTGGTTGGCTGATAAATGCAGACAGCATCACAGAGCATGAGAGTGGGAAGAAACGAGGGTGCTAGAGGCACACATTGCAGCTCTTATATATTTGACACCTAATGGTTGGAGGCCTGACTGATGCGAAGAGGTTTACAAAATGGTATTGTGCTCCTCAAACCCTGGCTCTAGGCTCTTCCTGACACTGAAAGGTGTTTTAGACTTCAGAGGTGAGGATGCTACTCTCAGTAGCAGTTGGTCAGAACGCTAAGACAGCACCAAATGAGGGAGGTGTGTGTTGAGTTAGGATGGAGACATGTCTCAAAGAAGAGGGCAAGTGCCCTGCTCTTCAGGGAGGTTGTGGGTGGCACGAAGAGAGAAGTACTTCCCTTCTGGAGAAGATGGGGAGGTTGAGGCTGGTGTTAGTCGCACATCAGTAGAGGATGAGAGTGGCTGGAGTTGGTAAAAGATAAGGATAATTGGGCTCCAGGAAGGGAGAGCTGGAAATACACATTTTACTTGAGAAAAAGAAAAAAAAAAAAAGGAAGCAGATCTAAGGTCTAAAGCAGCATCAGGTCCCACCTGTATGATGACCAGGGCACGTGGGATAGGAGGACAGGCTGCAGAAGGCTGAGGTAGCCTGAAGTCAGTCTGTGAGATGCTGGTGTTGCATTTAACTGCAGCTGAAGCCTCCATGGCCATGCATTTTCATCAGTGGTTTGCAATGGGCTTCATTCCACTCCAGAGGTAGAGAATGAAAGTATCAAATAGGACAGGCACTTTGCCTGCTCAGCAGCACAGCCAAAATTACAGTCTCAGACCTGTGCACTTCCCCACTGGCAACATAGTCCCTGCTGGGTGCTCAGTACAATTTTAAGTGCTCGGGATCCTCTTGTGTTATCCAGCAGACCGAATATGAGGCTGTACACACCAAATTGCAGTTGCCTGAACAGACAGAGGGGCAGGCTGCCACCAGCAAGGCTCCACAGGTAATGCAGAGAGAGCAAAGTGCCTCTGTCTGGGAGTAGCAAACCACTGGAAGCTATCCTCTGATCAGTGTCATATGAGCAGCTCCTTACTTAGGTCACACTCTCAACAAAAAGCCTGTCCTCCTTCCCTTTTGTAGTGTGGTCTGTCCTCCTGAGGAAGGACGGTTTGGGAAGTGATTGACAAAAGTCTGAAGAGGTCCCCTTCTGCTGTGGATGAGTAACTCTCCTCTGGTGCTGTGGTGTTTGACATCCTCTGCAAAACAGACTCCTAACCTTGTCATTAACGTCTCTGGCATGGTTGGGAGGAATGAAGGATGAGCTTTAGCTGAACATTAATCTCAGATTAGTCTGTTTTAGGGAAAAAAAAATAAAAAAGGCAATTGCATAATATCTGAAAACCGAAGGGAGACAGAAACCTATTCATTTAGATGTAAATCACCTTAACGTGCTGCTCTGTAGGCTAAAATTTAGTTGATGTTAAATTTGGCAGCTTTAAAAAAAGGGCAGGGGGGAGAGAGAGAGAAATTGCAGGACCGCTTTCAGACTTCTTTTATAATCCTGTATATTTAGAAGGAAGTCAAATCCTACCTTGTGGTAGTACTACAGATTGGTCTGACAGAAGAGGAGGGAATATTTGCCTTCCAGTGCTTGCTTTGAACTTCTGAGCTTATTAGAGCCTTGAATCAATATTCAGTGCAATTTCATTACCAGTTGAGCGAATTTGGATTTTTCATTCAAAGTGATTATTTCCCTCCCTCTAGCTGTCAGAGCGACTCTTAAATACCCTTTTGCTCCAGACTGATCAAAACATTAGCAGAGCTTTTGTGAAGTTTGGACCTGCTGCTCAGCACCA